CGTTAGTCTAGCTTTTATCTTTCTTTTACTTCTTGCTGTATTAGTTGATTTTCTATGCTCCATACTTTATTCTTCAATGTGCAAGTATTCTTTTTTGTTTATTTTGCTCTATCTCCCACTCTTTCCTTCATTCATTTGCCTTCATTCATTCTCGTTTTTACCTCTCCGCTTTTTTAAACCGTTGTCTTTCTCTTCCACCCTCCCTTCCATTCTATCCTGCACCTTGTTTTCTTACCATAAATCATTCCTCCTTTATAGTTTGTTTCTACCGTTCAAAAGAAACTCGAGGTGGTAAATCCTGACAATATTACGTGACACCGTTCTATTAATTCTGTTAGCTACCACGACTAAAACCATTTTTTCCCTTATGAACTTACTTTGTGATATTGAATTATACAGAATTCATGATGAATTTCAAATAATGAGGACTATTTTCGCAAAACGCATTGTCCAAAAAAACAAGCAACTGTTTCATCATTTTGAAACCAGCAACATGCATTTTACTGGCCACACGTCCACGAAACATGAAATATTCTTTGTTTTAAACGGGCAGCCAAAAATTGAGGTATTCGTTTCATTGAAAACATGTAATCCACGTTGAAAGAAGGATATCGTGTGGTCTGCTCTCGACTTTCGCGTTGTTAAAATTTGGGAATAGTGTATATTTCAACCCAAAACTGTTAATCTTTGAAGCAAGAGATTCTAATTTTATTAAGTATCAGGTGAGTAGGATAAAGATTACTCAAGACGCACGAGATTCGAATAAAGAGTATATCAGATCTCCGCATGATAAATTTTTCATCAAAGTGTTTCAACTCATATATTAATGTAATTCTCTGATGCTCGTAGCAGCTTTTGATATCCGGGAAACTATCTTATTATCGGCATCACGATATAACACAGACAGAGACCTTGCTTTTACCTCGAATTAACTTTTCAACAACATCTAGAACAACTCTCGTTCAATTCAACTGAACTCATAAAAAGCGAATGTTTTTAACGTGAATGACAATAAGGGGGAGAAGGGGGAGTGAGGGGGAGGTACAGAGGAGGGAAGGGGATTTGGGGAGGGAGGGAGGAAGGAGGGTCGAGTTCACAATAACAGAAACTATTCATAATCTGAGCTGTGTCAGTGAGACGAACCTGTAGTATTTTCGAAAAAGGTAACTTTCCATTCATGTTTAAGTAAAAAAAGTACAAAATTTTCACAAAAATTGAACTTAATTTTATCTTACACTTGCTGACATTCTATATACGTGATTTTGTTTTATTCAAGATATTGTTTACACAAACAACAACAGTCTATTTAGTCTTCAGGGTTAGTAGAACAAGTCTCTACTTTAGCTAAAGAGGATTCTAAAAGGATCTTTAGTGCTTAATTGACTTTTCTTGCCCATAATCTTTCCCATGCCATTCCCCCTTTTTATTTTGAATTGTATGCTTGCTTCAAAAAGTGCAGAGTATAAACATGCTGGTTTTTATAAAGGTTTCATGGAGTAAACTTGCTGGGGTGACGAACCAGCAATGTCTGAAGGTCCGATGGATTTTAAAGTTTTGCACCACATGCATCCTACTTTGTGGTAGGGACATTAATGGCGCTTATGCTAGTTAATCAGGACTCTGATCTTCTATGAATCATCGTGTCGTGCAATCAGTGATTTCGCTATTGTTTGTTGATGTGTGTTTGGTGGCGAAACTTTTCCTGTCTCCTTTTTGGATCTATTTTGTTAGCCTTCTCCCATATTTTGAATTGGCAAGGCTTTAATTTTTAGAATTGTTAGGGAAGTAGCTCATTAAGTAATTAAGGCAAATTTGGTAACAGGGCCTTATCTGAAAGTAGACTTTTTTATTCGCATTAGAATATGCAACTCCAATATGCCTTTTGTGTGGACCGATCTTATGATATTTAATTTCCCTATGCGTTATTGAAAAATTTAACTATATTGTCGAATAGGTTGAATTAGTAAGGATCAGGCTGTAAATACCGTTAGTCTTCTAAATGCTCTCGAGATGAAACGTAGCGATATTTTGATTTTAGCTGTCCCATACAAGAAACGAAAAGCAATGAAAGTCTTAATGAATTTCTTCATGGATCGAGATCATCAGGATGTTTCGAATGTATTGATTTGCATGTCCATTTCCTGGTTGAAAATTTAATTCATGAACTAATTCTATTGGTGTCTTTTAGAGGTCTTTCATATCTTACGAAACTGGAAGTTTTTGATTCGTTTATATGCTTTTTAAAGCATTTGCGCCTTATGCCACCCAGAGCTAGGCCCTGCTTGTCCGCCATTACACTGCTACTCGTTATTTGCATAAGCGTCCCAGCCCTTGCACAGACGCATGCTTATGCAGAAACGCATATGACACCGGTTGGCCTTGGCTCACTCAACTCTTGTTGCTATCTTGTTGTGCTATTCTTGAGTCAATCGTCATGCGGTATTTTCCAGTACCTCGAATCCTATTATCATACCGTATAATGCGGTTCATTTAAGAGAAAAGGAGAGTCAGGCACCTACAAGAAATATCAAAGAATAAAGATACATACGAAATTTTAAAAGAAACCTTTTAAAAACAGGTAAAAACGACAAGAAAAAAGAAGAAAAAATATAAATTTTGCAAACACGCAGAAATTTTTTTTATACATTTTGGCCGTCAACAGTTTTCTAGAAAACTTCAGTCTTAAAATTGAAATTGAAAATACCCCACATAATGATAGCTGTAAGTAATAAAGAAGGTATAGAGAAGTTAATTAGGAGCGAAGCCTGTTTATTGATTTAGCTGGTGTTTTCTCTGCGTATTGTTACAACAGACCGGTACGAGATCAAACAAAAGTTTATCACCAAGGCAGTAGAAATATTTTACTAAAAATTTTCCTCCTATTCGTCATAACAGAATCGGAATGGACGCTCCATTACAATCATATCAATGTCAGAATTTAGCAAGTTGAAGCCTAAGCGTGTTATGACTTGTATTACGAATCAGAATTGTGTGTTTAGAACTGGATGATAAACGGGAGTTGATGCGGAGTTGCGGGAAGCGTAAATCCAAAAGGAACTCATCTTACGGCTCAATGTCGTCGATGTCTTATCAACGGTTTGCAGAGAGCGGTTATAATCTTGGAAGAAAATTGGGGTATAAACTTTGTGTTTTTTAATCATAAGAATGGCATTACGTAATATTGCGTACGAGTGACGCTATATTGTCACGTTAAAGCGCTGTTTTACGTGACTTTGTTTCTTACATTGCACTTTTCCATTGATGTTATTCCTGCGATAAAACGCGATCAGATCAAAGTAAATCGCGATCGAAATATCTGTGTCATGTTCGGAAGCACTGTGAAACCTCAAACATGCCAAGTAACTTGTTCTCCAAACTTTTTTGGCTGCGGGTAGAGACTTGGCAAGTAACTACTGAACAAATGAGTGCTATACAGGCTCTGCTAACGCCCAGTACATTGATACTTTATCGTATCCTGCTTTGCTTGATTGTTGTCCAACTTAATTAAGCCTAGTAAATACACGTACTAGCTTGTAAATTGAATTTTAAGAATGCTTGTTTAGGGAAAGCCCAAGAACGCCTTTTCGCAGTACAGTATGAGCAAGAAAGAGGGTGAAACATCGACTAAAAGGCAAATGAAGCAAAGTGAAAAAATGAATTAAATTCGTCAGAGCGGTGTGGTCATTGCCCTACCCACCAATTCTGCCAATTTCCTTATCTAGAATTACGGGCCTCTTTATGACTTTTGGTCTAACATGTTCTGATAAATTTTTCATGCTGTGGGATAGACATTTTCGAAACAGTGGATTCATTCTAAAGTCAATGAATGAACGGGAGTTCTCTATATGGCGGAATCGCAACTTTTTGAAGAGACCGAACCATTATTACGTACCAGGTGATTCCAAAATTTTTTTGTGGAATAAAGTTCATTCTTGATAGAAGAAGAAATGCTTTTAGGAGTTTTTGTATTTGAGTTTTTAAAATAGCCACTGCAAATTCTTTCGACTTGATCAAGAGCAGCTGCATTATTTTTTGGCAAGAGTAGCTATAGGAATTTCATAAGAAGTGTTACTTCCATAAGGTAGTTTCATCTTAGCATGAATTTTTGAATCTAGAAACAGCCCTAAGACGATTGTGGATAACAGCCTTGAAGAAGACACTGTATCGGTGAATATGGTATTATCAATCTTGTTTACAATTGGAATAACATATGTTTCCAGATGGTGGTCGAATCTTAGACATCGGGGCGATAAGAATGTATCAGTCGTTCTTACGCTTGTCCGCAATACTATTTTGATTTCATGCTTTTTGCGTAAAATTCCTGCGAGCAGGGGGTAGCTTCAGCGAAATTGAAATATTTATTAACACTGCTAATAAAAACGTTGTAAAACAGAAATAAAAACCAAATAACTAAATATGCATAGAGGTTTATCAAAGAATAGAAGCAGATACGCTGGAAGGTTTTTTTCTCTTTATTTGATTGTATAAATAAGATATATTTAGTGCTTCTATACCAAGATTGAAGCTAGGAATGCGCTCTTCTTGAGGCAGTCAGGCGTGTTCAAATAGTCGAAACAAGATTATTATTATTATTATTATTAACTCTTTATTTACAATGTTGGCATAAAAAAAGATATAAAATAGCTATATATGTATAAGAAAAAATATTTATAAGCATAGCTTATAAAAGCCAACTAAAAGAACCGTACATTCAATGAGTCGCCATAAGATTTTCTCCTTTTGTTTTAAGATTCCGACGTGCGAAATATTATAAAGCTAGGGAATCTATGGTTCTTTTTACGATAAGGGGTTCTATATGAAACACTTAAGCAAACAAATAGCTAAAAATGCTGTTTTCTTTTTACCTAGCCCGGGTAAATGCAGTTATACAACGAAAAAGGCCTATATTATTCAATATTCACATTTTCTTTACATGTCATGTTTTTATAATTATTTCATTTTTGCTTAAAACAACTGAAAGATATTTTGAATATTTTCAGGGGTAGAATGACTTCCCAGAATGGCAAGAGCATACCTCTCCTCACGCACAACAGAGAAAGATCGCTGAGCTACAAGGAGCGACAGATGTTAACTTCGGAATCCAGTAATTACTTTCCAACGGAAATCAGAAGCTTACGCATGCTAAAGTCTGCCATATTTACATTCCTAGAACACCCCAATCGACCAGTTAGCCGGTTGTACCATTCTCTCGTGTAAGTTGATGGTTTGCCTGTCGTATTTAACTAGTATTTACCCCTTGCTTGGCACCTGGATAATGGAAACACAATTAAGACTGATAATATGAACACGTTTTTACGGGGAAACCACAAGATGTTTCTATACGTGCTGACTATCAAGTGTGTGTTCCTTTAACATCTGCCCTTTGTTTATACGAAGCTTTTTGGAAAAATTTTCACAATAGATTTGCTTTGAGCGAAAATCTTTCTAAACAGTTTGATGGCAAAATACTTGACAAAAGTTGTTCCAAAACAAGACCATTGAATTTATGCACTCGCACAGTCGAGTCCAAAAACACTTCGCCTATAGTGCCCTCAACGGACATACAAATACACGTTTCTAAATTCAAGATAGTTTAATGGACACTACTTCTTTCTCTAAAACGGTTTCATTTTTGGACAGCCTTGAACACAGTAAACAGAAAGCCTCAGAACATAAAATTTGATCATAAAAATCATTTTGACTCATTTAGAATGCTTATGAAATTTTCTATTTTTTCAGTTAGGCATTCATTAAACAGGTGTGCTCATTAATTTTCAATTTACTTTTTCATGCCATTACCCTAGATACAAGTGCCTAAGAAATTGGGAGGGGAAAATTATTTCTCATCTCGGTTTCCTGCCTATTTATTAGACTCTGGTACCAAGTGGCCAGATTGCATGTAACAGAGACAATAAAAGCTGTTTAAAAATCAGTTTGATCTAAGATTTTGAATAGTAAATCGTGATTTTTCTTCTCGCAGTCAATGTGAATTGTTTTTTGGCAAATAAGAAACATTTCGTAGAATTTAGCCCTTGGTTTTTTTACTTCTGTTTTTCTTTATCCCCAAGTCTATTTATTTTCTCGTGAACTTCCTCAATTTTTTTGTAGAATCTTCCTAATTCTGATTAGCCTTGGACTTGCCATTTACCTGACCGTTCGGAAAACATTGCATTTGGATCATCATATCGTCTACCACTATCTTGCACTACTGGTATGTTTGCGATATAGCAATATAGTTTATTAGATTTTCCTTACAGTATTGCTACTTTTTTCTTATACTATTACGAACTCTCCTGGAGTACCAGGATGATAAAAACAGAGGTAAACGGGGGAACGTTTGAGAGAAAGGCAAACCGCTCCGTTTTCCCCTACTGCTTCCGCATCGCAATTCTTCTGTTTCTTGTAACCATATTACTACTAGTGCGGATGTCACAAAGCTTTTTAGCTGAATAGCACGCAAAAACTTATTTCCAGGAAGAAAGCACGTTGATGGGTTACTGGTTACTGGTTGGTGGATAAAATTTTGGAATCTCACACTTTAAGATATTTTATAGAAATGCTTACCGCTAGAGGTTTGGAGTGAAAAAGGACATATCCAGTTTCCAATGAGTTCTTAAAACACACATATTTTGAACAGCATGCAATTTATAATTTTATTGATTTTATTTTTTGTTCATTCCTTAGAATATTGTATATACAACTCTATTAAACAGACACGAATACGACTAGAACTGTTAAATTACACGACGCAAGTTAAATAGGACACTAAAAATATTTAGTTAAACAGGAATACTAAAGCAAAGGTTTAATCTTATTTCTGAAATTTTTGAAAAGGTTTAACCTTTGAGAATAATCTAAGAATTTATTTAAGTTCAATATCAATTGTTTTAAGCATATCAAGGATAAACAAAATGAACGTATTTTCATGGGAAAATAGTATGCATGTCTGGAAATACGTTAATAAAGCTTGCAGGAGTGGTCCACCGGGCACCGGATATTGCAATTTTTTCTTGAGAGTTATTATCCAATAAATTTGCGTTGTTTTATTTTTATGCAGGCTGCTCTTTGATAAACTATCACCACAGCTTATCAGAGCATGCCTGAATGGAACTATAACTTATTTTTATCATAGACCTTTTAGCCCAGGCGATTTACTTCAATCGCTAAGTCAAGGCTTTAAAATTTAATTGCTAAGTCCAGCTATCTAAGAAAATAATTAAGTGAATTTTGGTCGTGATCCCGCTTCAGCTGCACAACGCCATCGCCTACTGTTTCCATTGTTATTTGAAATTGTTACAAAGCTTTGCAGCAAAGCTGTTTGGCCTAATGCCATTCAGCTGGACTTAATATGCCAGGATATTTCTAAGAATAAACCCGCTATCAATTAATCTTTTAAGCAATACCATCACTAAGAATACAGCCGCTAAGAAATAAAAAGATGATAGAAGTTACATATGAAAAAAGAAGTTGATAGATCTCACTAGACGGATAATCCATTAACTAAGGTAGCGTCTGTCAACAACAAATGCAATACATAAATTCGTTAGTTGTTCCTAAAATATATGTTTTTCTATAAAACGGATAGTGCAGTTTGCATGTCTCACATGATTGCTAACATTACCATTTCTTCCGTCGCTAACTGTCGAAAGAGACTTCAGGTTTAAAAATGTAGCATTAAAAGCTTTTAAAGTCAAAATATCTCTTTGAATTGCAAGTGTTCCCAAATCCTCTATCAAGGAACAACTCTTTAATTTAGTTAGAAATATTTAATCTGCAAATTCCATTCTCCTTTGCTTGCTGTTAATTCTTTGCCACAATCACCACATTAAATACAAACTTTGTCACAAGTTTTCCCAACTGACAAATTTTGTAATTCCTTTATTATACTTATTTTGCTTACTGGAATATAACTCTTCCTACATTTTTGAAAGACCAACTTTTGCTGCTTGTTTAGAACCATATAAATCTATGCAAAATTCAGCATTACAATCTTTTCCACAATTGACTATTCGTGATCCAAGAATTGAAGAAGGCAAAAAAACTGGAAATGTTTGACTGCGGATGAAGTTTATAGATAGAAAAACCCGATGGTTTCTTTTTTTCTACAATCTTGATCATTTTGAAATTATTGTCGCCGATATACTAAGCAAAGAAGCAGATGATTGCAAGAATGATTTTTTGCTCTAATTGTCGTTCACTTTCTAGGAATGCGGTCTAGCTGCCATCTTTATTATCGAATATTTGCTGAGAATCTGGTCATGCAGCATAAAAGGGATATATAAAGGCTTTAGGGGAACTCTAAGGTTCATGTGGAAGCCACATATGATTCTTGGTGAGTGCGTTGCTAAAAGGTACTAGTGAATCGTTTGATGCTTTGTTTGAAAATCTTTGTTGCTTTTAGATGCTTGCAAGGCTTGAGCTATAAACATTTAAAAACCTTTTCACGCAAACAGTAGAACTATTTTTCATTGAAGATGTCTGTGTATCTTTTGATGGACTAGAGAGTGACCTCGGTTTTTGATCGGATGCTGTAATAAAAGAATAGGACTCAAATTTGATACTTTTAAGAAAAAACAGCCTCTTGAAGGTGGTATCCGCTCTTTCAGTCCAACAAATAGGATGTATTTATACAAATATGATGGCGGACTGTAGTTTAGTCTATTTCAATATCAGAACCGATCTTTAGAAATTATGAGTACTACAACCCCAGCCTTTCCCACCTCCTTCTTGCTCTGTATTTATTGCATTTATGAAGACGGAAAATCATCGGATCCCTTTTAAATGCTGCACTTTCCTTTGCAGATTTCTTCGCTATATTAGCATCTCTTACTCTTGCTATTCTTATGAATAAATTTCGTTTTGACTGGGCCCATATGAGGTATGTTTAGTTCTTCCAAAACTTCTTTTTGATTCATACAAATGTAAGAAAGTAGATTTGATCGTGGCGTTTTTAAAAATGTCATCGTAGAAACAATTTGGTTATCTATTATTAGAGATTAAATTGCACAAAAATATATTGGCATTATAAGACTGTATATAGAATAATTACATAGATTGCTGTGTATGCTCTGGAGAACAGTTTCTCATCAGAGGTCCCCAGACTAGATGGAGTGAATTTCAGTGTCCAATTTCAATCCAATTTACTACCTCTCTAATGTAAGGTCAGAGCATCTAACATCCAAAGTGTTTGATCGTATGCGCATTTCTGTATAAGTCCTAAACTTTTATACTATCCGTTTTATAGGTATGCTATGCCACTCCAGCTTATAAGAATACTTAGAATTGATCGAGAACGTGGTGCCTTTAAGACGTTCCATGCAGTCATTAAGAACCACTTCAAGGTAATAACATTACAACCATACACAGTGCTCTATGTGTTATCTGATGTGTACATATAAACCCTTTGTGCAAGATGATACATGTTTAATAAATGTTAAGGACGACTATCACTACTTTTGCTCAAATTAATTAGATCAGCAGCTCGCTTTTGTCTATGTACCGTATGCAACAGATAGAATTTTGAACCTTCTCCATTAGTACTTTGCCTCAAATTTCTCATTAAGTAAATACTTTTGCTATTCCTATTTTTGGACAGTCCTATTTTTTAAAATGATAGGTTAGCGGCAAAATGGTTTCGAATGATCTCGAAATTTCTACAAGGTTTTTCTTTTTCATACGAAAAAAGTAAAATATGTTTAAAAAATATTGTTACTTTGCACTACTGCATCATACACAGGCTTAGAAATCTAGAAGAGGCTACATAAGGTTTGAAAATTTATGTCATAGAGCTCTGATGTTTTCGCAGACTTTTTAGCTTCTCTTTGTTCGTAAATTTATTTAACTTTTTAGTCATGATTTTTGTGTTTGTTTCCTATAAATTTATTCAGCTCAGAAATGAAATCTCGAGATCTTTGTAAAAGTATAAGGCATAAGAATAAGGAGAAAAGTAAGTGCTAAATGAATTGGCGAAGGCTATAAAAAGCAAAGCAGTAAATCGATCAATTCAAAAGTGCATTGAAAATATATAAAATCTTTAAAAAATTACAAAACCATGTCCCTCTACAATTTGCCCCTTGATCTTTTTTATTTCCGCGCTAAAAGCACAGCTCCTTGAACTAATTGTGTCCTTGCCTTTTTCAGGAACTACTCACATGCTGGTATATGGGTTTTATCGTGGTCTTGTTCCTAAGCTATCTGGCATATGCTGAGCCTGTGATAATCGGTGGCAAACAGAACAGAACCGTTGATGACTTAGCAAATGGAGTCTACTGGGCCATCGTATGTATCAGTATTTTAAGTCAAAATAACCCTTACCCTGATCATTCTTAGAATGGTTCTGGGTGGAGCCTCTTTACCTAGTGTAAACTTAATATTTCACATGCATCTCCAACTTGCGTTCCCTGCCAATCCTTAGAAAATCCTTTTCTAGAATATAACCAGTTTCTTGTAGTAAAATCGAGAAATATTCACCCGTCCACACAAAATCAATATTAATTGATAACTCTGCTAAATAGACTTTCTCTAGTCAAAATTGTTCATGGGGGGTGGTGCAAATTTAGGGCACTAAAAGTAATTCTGACGAAACAAAGTTTCGCTTGGGTCAACAATTGATACCCAACTTGTACTTGAATTTGGTATGGTTAAATTGAAGTTATTTTTGCGGTAAAAGCGCATACATCCTACCTAGAATGAGGTGTTTAATATTGATTTGTTTCGATATCTTTTGATTATTGTGTTTGTAAGATATTTAGAATCAAAGAGAGCATTGAAAGGTTCAAATAGCTCATTTGTACAGATCAGCCTTCAGACATTAATCTTGCTTGCGCTGTTACTCCGTTACCCAAAGACTGTTTGTAGTTCAGTTAACAGAATGTCTACCAAATATTTTCAAATATGATCGATAAAAAGTTTGTATTTCTAAACTTAATTTTGACAAAACATTAGGCGTTCGATCGATCCAGGCCGTAGTTCTCTTTAGACTCCTGTGGAGGCGCTTGAGCGACCTGGAGCGCCTGTCCACGTAGGGATTGAAATGTAGCCTGCGCGCAGTACTAGAACATAGAGTCTGCGTACAGGCTACTGAAATGTGGTTTTTGCAATTATTTCACCTTTTTATGAGAAAAAGATAGTTGAATGAACTGTTTACAGTTAGAAGGCATTTGACCAAATCTTATATTTATATTTACTTACTTCGGTCTAACACAATCTTTCTTTCTTTATGGTGCTATGCTACAGTAGAATATTTCGTCGCTTTTGCAGGTTTCCATGACAACTATTGGATACGGCGATATCTATCCCCGCACTGTAACATCCAAAGTTCTTCTCTGTATCTTCGGCGTTGTTGGCACAGGGTTTATTGCATTGCCAGCGGTATGCATGTTTTAAATATTGTTTTTTCATTCATTTACCCTGATAAATTGGGCTTAGATAATGCATCAAAACCATATGTTTGTGACATGAGGCAGTCCGGCAATTTCTCCCCCATGGCATCCTCCTGTTCGAGATAATGTATGTAAGTGGTCGCGGAATGGGTGCTTGTATATACATAGTCAGATAGGCAAAAATTGCAAAGCCTTAGTTGGATAAGAATAACTTTCTTCAACACGCAACAAAGCCAGTGTCTAATGGTTAGATTTCTGTTTCATTTAGCTGACAATTTTTGACTGACAATTGCAAGCAATGAAAAAAATTGCAGATTACAATAGTTAAAGACACGATGCGTGTACAAGATTGACACACAAGGACTTTCCACGCCCCCCCCCCTTATCTTTTTTAAAAAGGACAGGGTAGGATCTATCAGCTCATGAACCGCGCTGCCAACTACTGTCATTCAAAACTTTTATTTTGTGGCCTTAAAATGTGTATAGTTGTTGAAAGATCAATGTTGAAATTTGCATGTGTTAAAGGAGTCGCTTCAAGTTTGCTCCACGCACAGTGTACCCTGGATACCAGAGCAACATAAATTCGAGCGCGGAAAGAGAAGATAGAAGTGGAGGAGGGTCTAGCTGAGAAGATGGGAAAGTTTTGCTCCTCCGCTTCTCTGCTTGGTTTTCCATTTCCGCGCTTGAAGCTATGTGGCTCGGGTATCCAAGGTGTTGTATTTTATATGTTGGCTCATTTTGTAAGATTTTTTCCCACTTCACTAGGGTAGAATAGAATTCTGGTGATGTCATGGCTTGTATCATTTTGCTATAAAAATGGGATGTTCCATTGTTTCATTATGTCCCAATTATGATGAAAGGATAAAAGATTTTACCATAATAGCTTCAGCGATCGGCTGCAAAATACTTCTCTTTAGGTGTTTTCAGATTTTGTCAAGCTCTGTGAAAGCAATTTGTAAATTTGCACATCTTGTCAGCAGAAAAATGAGTATCAAGCTATGTTGACCTTTATTTGGTCTTAATGCGTTTTTATTTCTTTGCAATATTTGAAAGTGTGAATAAAGAAAAGGTCACGATAGCAGGCTGCTCCACGGACTCCGAAGGTGTTATTGCGGTGAAAAATGTAGCAAATAAGAAACACCGCAGTGCGAAGAGAATGGACAACACCCTTTGCTCTGATGAAGCCCCGTATTCCGGGGCGAAATATTAGCTTTCACTGATTTACGTGTATTTGTTGTTGTTCATTCTCTTCGTATCGCGGTGTTTCTTAGTTGCTACAATATTTGAAAGTTGTTGCATTTAATTTGCAATCTAAAAATCATCAGCTTAACGATTTCATAAAATGCCTTTACCTGAATATGCATGTGTGTAATGGTGTAATTTCTCAAACTGGCAAACATTCTTTTGCTAATGAAAATGTCACCTTATTTTTTTTCGTGCTTAAGGGAATCATTGGCTCGGGGTTTGCTTTGCAAGTTATCGAGCAGAAGAAAAAGCAACATAACAGGAAGCGACGACGACCGGCAGCAATGTTGATTCAGGTAGGCATGTTGTAGCGTGAATTCATTTTCCTTATTCTAGTTCTATTCGTGTTGTAATGATCAGGGCCGCCGAGAGGTTTCGGAGGCCCTAGGGCGAAACTGAAAGACGAGGCTCTCTGCAAGCGTACCGAGCAAAAAAATTATGGGACCACGCCCTTTAGGTTAGCTTTAAAATATCTAGGTTAGCAGTCGAGCTATCCAATAAAACTGCTCTTTCGCTTGCTACCTTACTTATGTTGGAATTCTGAGTCTCTTTCCCTTTTTTATTTAGAAATGTTTTATTTGAAATACAATCTTCCAGTTTATCTAATCGATAAACCTTGTTAATTTATAGTAAGAATGAATTGAAATTTAGATGAATGATGTGGTTTGGGAGACCTAAATGAGAAAGAGGAAATGAATATTTAAAATGAATTCATACTTTTCTCGATGACTGATATTTTGGCGGATATAAATCAATTTAACAAGCCTTTGAATTTTCTGTAGGCAGCCTGGAAGGTCTGGGCATCCGACCTGAAAAAGAATTTTACTGCGACGTGGCTGCCACATACAAAAGTTGTCAAATCGTTCAAGGATAGTGAACTACAGGCTTTGTTTTCCAATCCTACCGAATCATTTATCAATTTACCTGGAACCAGTCTGAGATGTAAGTGCCTTTCATGTCATCTATTTGTATCATTCTATTGCGATGCTAAATATTTCTATAATGATTCTATTTTTGTTCATTTTATACGACCTTATGTAAGAGATGAATTTCAGGACTTCAAAACCAGTTGGGTAATAACAACCTGAAAGATAGGAATAATGTTTTCATCTAAGTTTGAATTCAAAAGTTAAAAGGTTTAAATGCGGTTTATTTCAACTGCAAAATTTGTAAGGGCTTTTATTTTGCAGACAAATCTGGTACAAGTATCAGCTCAAAGGGTTCCAACGTAGAAGGAACGGAAGAGAGCACACTTTCAGCAAAAGTTGAAGGGGCGTATTTGGTGTACAAAGAGTAAGTGATTTGCTTGGTTTTGCTTTGGCTCTGAAATCCACCAGCTGAACAGGTGGATAGAGAGTATTTGATGCAGATTTTTGCTTTGACACTGAAATTATATTGTAGTGTTGTGTTGTTGTATTTAGATTTTAAGCTAATTCTTTGTGAGCTGCAATTCTCGCCAAAATTTATTAGACTGGCAGGCAAATTGTAGCTTTTTTGAAACAATTCACTCCCCTCCCCCACAGGCAATTTTGATATGCTTATTTTGATTGTAGGTACTTTGTAACTTCCAAAAAACCAACATTCCTGCAGGGATGGGAGGTTTTGATACCATGATACCATATAAATTTTTCTGTCTTTATTTCCACAGCTTAACTAAAGGGCAGAAAATTGCTATTGGATTTATAAGGCATTTAAAGTTTATCGTAGCTTTGAAATATTTTCGAGTAAGTATATTCATTTCCTTACTTCTTTTAAAATTCATGTTGAGAGAAAAATTACAAACTTAGAAACTGAACATTCAAGTCATTTATAATTTGAGAATTAATTCAGATTGCTGTGACATATCAGATCTAAATGAAAATGTTTAAGGATTTGGTTTTGGTCGTACTTTCGACAGCAATGACGGATATTATGAAAAAATAGGCTTAAAATCACATGCATATATAAAATAGGTTTGAGAAGAGAGGTAAGAAAGAGAAGATGCAGTAGACTTGTATTTTGCTTAGAGTCATTGCCTCATCAAACAGCAGAAGAATTCCTGAAAATTGTTCATTGCTAGAATAGGACAACCTGGAATGTTCTATTCTAATAGTGGCAAAACCTTCATAGCTTGAACAAAATTACTAAACAATACAGACAAAACATGATCCAAAAAAATAGCTAAATTATTGTTATTTTAATTAAACAACTCATTTTATGTATTGTTTAAAGAAAGAGGAGAGTTCTCAAAACTTGCTGGCCAATCAGCGTATCGAATGGCAATTTAATCTGAGAAAAGGCACCTCAGTGGGGTGAGCGGATGGTTAGCTTTTTTAAATAATCTTTATACAAGACTTTGGGAAGAGCGTGCGAGAGGATTGAGCTAAAAGAAGTGATCATTGACATCAAACTTACCTTGAGTAGTGGACCCTTTACCTACGTCAAAGGCGATGTACTATGGCCACAGTTTGTTTAAAGATATAACAAGATATAACAGACACAACAACAAAATAGAGGTTCAAGGAGCATCTAAATTTGTGCAAAGGCACTCGATGAATGAACCCATACCCATGTGTTATTCAAGAAATGAACCTAGCTGTTTAATGAAAAGCTCCAAGACTTAATGCACTTCATCAGATATATTTTGTTGCTGTTCAGTTGGATTATTTTGGTGTTTTTTACATAAAGGCATTTTCTGTTAGTGTTTACAGTTATGATTTTTTGCCAACATTTTTCATTAATCTTGTAACAGAATTCATGATTAATTACGAAAATGCAAAGTTTTGTTGTTAGTTGTCAACAATTTATCAATTTGCACATTGTTGTTATATTTTTTTATAGCGAACACGTAAGCCTTATGATGAAAAAGACATCATGGATCAGTTTGCAGGAGGTCAGGTCGAAATCTATGGCCAACTAAAATTAATTCAAAGACAGTAAGAAAATGATTCTTTACTCTTTCTACCTTCGTTTTCGATTCATTCCAGTTCTGCTTGCAACTTATTTCAAGACTTTTTAGCGTTTCAATCTTTAAGTATGCTTTGACATGAAGTTTAAGTATTCTAAGCAACTAATTAGTATAAGTATAAGTATTCTTGTTGTTGATCCCAAGTGAAAGTCAAGGCTTGTCCGAACCATTAAAAAATTCTATAAAGATTACTTCAGTGTTACTGAGTTATTGCAAACGATAATTTTCAGAAACATTTTCTTTAATTTCCGCAGAATTGACACCATGAATGAAAGAAGAGGTTAGTTGCTTTCGTTACCTTCTTCTGTCAAATATAAGTGACATTATGAAATACAATGCTGTCGATAGTGACTGTTTGTTCTTCTGACACTGTCTTGTTACACTTTTTTCATATCGTGATTTTTTTATTGTAAGTCCTCGAATACGCCCCCCCCCCTTGAATAAGCCCCCAACCTAAAGTAATTTTTGTGAAATAAGCCCCCGCCTTCTAATACGGTACCGCTGAGGTATTGCCTCGACAGCAATACGTTTATCCAAATATACCTGCATTTTAAAGCATACTGACCATCCACAAAAAGAGCAAGATATTTTTCCTCATATTATTTTTGGTCGCTGCTAAATAAGCCCCAACTTAACGAGGACTTACGTTAATCAAATTATGATTCAAGATGACACACGAAAATAATGTTATTGAAATAAACAAATTTGATATTAGAGCAAAGTGTGAATTCCAGACAATTGTCAACGGAGGTGTTTTCACTGAGAAAGTTATTGTACAACCATTGCTCACTATTTATTCAAAGATTGATAAAGTCCTGCACCACATCCCGCACCATTTTATGTGGAATTTACCCCCCCCCCTGGGACACTAACTAACCCACCCAAGAATCATGGATCTGAAGCATATTAATGGATTTAGCAAATGGACTTGAATACAGCAATCTTTTGAGGAGAAAATGAAACGATGTATTTAATCATTTGGGCTGGAGTATGGAATCTTCGGTTCATCCTTTTGTCTTGCATTTTTGTGGATGTTGACATGCATCTATTTTTTGTACTAGTAAATATATTTTTTATTTTTATTTTAGAGACACTGCAGTCAGAAATGCTCACAATGCAGGCACAGGTAATAAGGGTTCCATTTTGTTTAGTTGTTTAGTTGAAAAAAACATAACAGTTAAATTGATGACTTGATTATCGATCGGAAATGACATGGCCGATCGATGTGCAAAGAAGTATGACTTTTTGCATATACCGGTATTCACTTTTTGTATATACATTCTGTTTAAAATATTGCAAGTTCACTCTGATCTAAATGCTTTATTTTTTTTAAAAATGACACTGTTGCATGGTGTTGTTTTACAAATAGGATGGTTTTGGGAAAATCTGTGTGGTCTTAAAAGTTTTCTCCGTTCTCTCCTATTTTTCAATGGCTGACGCAGCTCCTGCGTGCATTTCAATTAAGACGACATGTTTTATTCAAATGCCTATTTGAAAAGTTAGGGGAATAATTAGTGATGAAGAACCTCAGCATCTTGTCTTCAAATGTAAGAGAGAAGAGCCATCTTAACACTGCTGCCTTGTCTAGTGACTGCGGTATCAAAGAAACTGGATTTTCGGTCTTCTATCTGTCACTATCTCTTTGCAGAGGGTAGTTTTTTGGACAATGAGAAGCTATGTATGCTTGTCAGGCAGTCTCGTGGTCCTGCATTTCAATGCGACCACAATTGCTGAGTCCCACACCTGGTATTACATAAAGATGGCGTCCCTCGTCAATCAAAGTGTAATTTTTTTCATGACAGGGATTTGAACCAAACAGACCCTTGAATTTGCAATCCGCAACCCTAACCACTGACCATCATTACACCAAAATCGATCCACTTTTATGGATGATAAAGTTTTTCTATGTTTTCATGCTTATCACTGGTTATAGCTTAGATACCCTGCTTATTTTCAAAATATTAGAAAATGGCAAAAGCTTGCACGATCGATTTATAGCCTCTCGACATCCGGTGACGATTTTTTTCAAAATTATCCTGCATTTGAAACCCAAAGATTGTTATGCATTTATTACGAAGAAATTATCGTGAAAGAATAATCTTGTGATCAATTTTTTTGAAAATTTATGTATTCTTACAGATTGCATCCATATCTATGAGACAAGAGGAAATGCTTTCTTTAGTCAAAGGTATATCAGAATCAATTAAATCATACGAAGAGGGAAGTGAAGGCTCTCACTCGAATTAAGAGCAACTGGTGTATATACTTACAAGGCAAAGACGCCGGTAGACGCCTGTTTCAGTCCATGAACACAACATGCACTGGAAGTGCCAAAATTTACAGAGTTATTTCGCAGATGTGCTGCTTCTAAGATGCCCTGGAGCAGGAGACGAGTTCTGGATGATTAAAACCTTCCTACAGGAACAAGAATATCGAAATCTGAATGACCTTTTTAGTTTCTCAAATGCTCCAATGATCGTAAGAAGAACCAGGACTTTATTGTAAATCTTATTATTTTAGAACAATTTCTATTTCTTTTTTCAAGAAAGCAATTCAACATGAATGATTTATCTTTTGGGAGACTGGAAATACTGCAAAAATATTGAGGAATGGTTTCACCATATTCTATCTTACTGTCACCTGGCTTTACTCTTGCTCTTTTTAAAATCACGTTTTTCTGCTAAATTTCAATGAAAATAAAGTGAGATTATAGATACTAGGTTAAAGGTGTGAAAATTTTAGTAAAAAAAGGGGAATTCTTTAGCTGCATGCACGGTGCCACTTTTCTTGCGATAATTTTGCACCATGTATCACGTCATTCTAGTTGCACATTGCAGTTTCTAGCTTCTAATAAAAACAACGGTTGCAGGCTTGATCGCGGCCATTGTACCTTGTAACTGTGCTGGAATCTTTGGTTTGGCTCCAATGTGTAGTATAAAAAATTATCCCCTGTCTCCAACAGCTTCTCCGCGTCTATCTTTGCAAGTTGCAGAGGTCGTTGCTCGTTGCTGCGTGTAACACGCTGGGTGAAAGTGCTTTTAACCCCCTTCAGTTATAATTCTGAGACCGGTTGTCAAAAGAATTTAACCGTGTATCACTAGCTTTAGATCAAGTTAAATGAAAAGTAACATAGATGGTATGAAAATATTTTGTTAATTATTAATTGATGCAAACCGTATACAATGTCGTATACAATGTCAAAGAGTTTAGCAACGCAACTTTGGATCCAAGGTCCATCCTCTTCTGTTGGGTTGTATACTGTTGTAAAAATTATTAGACGATTTGAGATCGTATTCGAATTGGATTAAATTCATTTGAAACACGCGATAATGCGATTATTCGATACGAGATGTTGATTCGACGCAGGCGTTGGCGTTCGAAAACAGCGAGCATTCTTCTGCTGATAGCATAAGATCTGCGCATGTGCGCATGTCATTCAACCTACCACGAACAGAAAGAGGTTACTAAGAAGAGTTACACAGAACCCAAAATTAGAAAACCCAAATATTGGGGTGGGAATGGACAAAGAAAGCACTCTTTCCTCTCTTGTCTCACCAAGCAAATGCGAATGTCTCACCTAAAAACACGGTGTGGGGAATCTCGTAAGGTCGTAGTTAAGGCCCTGTTACCTGAATCAAATTCCCAGTGACACTAAAGAAAACTCACTTTCGTTGGTTATGATGATTATTATGCTCACAGAATGACATTCTTACGTGAGGCAACCTCAAACCCTCTCTAACTTTTACTGATAGTTGCGCTCAATTTATACAATTTTCTAAATAGCCCTGGTCATGGAAACCAGGTCAAAACAAAACCAAACATTACGTAATTTTCTAAAGCTAAAATAGATCTAAGTACAAATCAAAACAAAGCAATCGATATTGCGTCAGACAAGCAATTTGTAGCGTTGGTTGCAAAACAAAGAAACCACGGTTGACGACAGCGTGCGTTAAGTCTAATACTGTCCCTGACGAAATATATCGTTTTAAGCGATTACCTAACTTTTAAGATTTACCACACCCTCCCCCTATTAAAATGTGACTACAGTTTTAATATCCATCTTCTAAGTCTTCCTGGTCTTCGTGAATCTTGACAGCAGCCATTTGATTTTTCGCATCATTTCTTGCCTTTCTTGGTAAACTCTCCCTTGGTCTGAACTCTTGAGCCTTCGGATTCAACTGGACATCAACGGCACAGTTTTCTCCCCCAACTTCTAAATCGCAAATAAGTTGGAGCGGTCGCTCAACGATGTAACCGTTGCCTAACTTGATCTTTAATCCCCGTACGACACCATCCCTGCCGATAATTTTTCCAGCAACTCTTCCAATTCTCCACTGGGCTCTGTTTTTTGTGTCTTCTTTCAACAACACTACTTTGCCATTATTCGGGATTTCAACGTGACTTCCATTTTGTTTGAGCTTTCTTTCCTCCAGCGCGTACAAGTATTCTCCCAACCACCTCTTTCGTAGCTGCTCCTTGCTTTTGGCCAGAAATACCATCCTTTTGGGAAGCGTTTCCTCGTCCCCTATTTTGTGCAGATCCTCTTGTAGCATATGTGCTGGTTGCCCTCTGATCAGTATGTTTGGCGTGATGACTGGGGTCTCGAACTCTTCGCCTTGGTAGCTCAGGGGGCGATTGTTCATTACGCATTCTATGTCCAAAAGTGCTTCTTCCAACTCTGCAAATTTGAGTATACTTCTACCAATAACCTTTGCGAGACTTCTTTTCATTGTGCCAATCAGCCGCTCAAAAAATCCTCCCCACCATGGGGCTCGTGAGAGGTTGAACCTCCATTTGATTTTGTCAGTTGCTAAGTAGTTCATCAACTCCTCATTCTTCTTGAGCCTGCTCAGCCACTTCTTGGTTGCAATGAAAGTCTTGCCATTATCGCTAACCATTAGTTTTGGTGTGCCTCTTCTTGCGATGAATTCCTTCATTGCTCGCTGGAATTCTTCCGCCGTCAGGTCTCTGCATAATTTTAAATGCACGGCTCTGGTTGTGGCGCACGTAAACAAGGCAATGTAAGCCTTCCCAACTGTCTTCTTGCTCACTCGGTACGTGATTGGTCCTGCAAAGTCAACGCCAGTGCACGCAAATGGATCTGTCATTTGTGACCTGAAACTTGGTAGCTGTGAGTTTGAAGGTGCTGCCAATCCCTGCACTCGAAACCTCTTGCACTTGTCACAGTTGTGAATGACCTTTTTCACCAATGTGCGGAGTTTAGGTACCCAAAACCTTTCCCGTATGCAACTCATTGTCACAGATACTCCCCCATGCAACATTCTTCTATGGCATTGCTCAATTAGTCGTTCCACATAAGTGTTACTTCGTGGCAGAAATATCGGATTGTAGTCAGGCACTCTTCCATGGCATCTCCATATCCCTAGTGGATCCTTTTTCAGTGGGACATCAGGCCTTATCTCCTTAGCTTGCTGCACCTCCCTGATCCAAAACATCTCTGCTGATTCTATCTCTTCTGCTGTCAGCATCCCAGTCTGCTTCTCCTGTCTGCGACAGTTGGTTACAAATCGAAGTACCAGTGCTGTTATTCGCAATGTTTTCCAAAGTGTATGCTTTTCTAGAAGATCTTTTACAGCATTTGTAACAACCTTTTCTTCTTTGGCAAGCATTAGTCGTTCCTTTTTTGGCAACTTTTCAGCTTCTGTTTCTTTACTTTCCCCAATTTCTGGTTGAACCGGCCAATCTTCTTTGCTTGATAGCCACTGTGGTCCATGAAACCAAAATGATTCCATTTGTGTTGGCTCAACTCCTCTGCTCCCCAAGTCGCTTGGGTTCTCACCAGTTGGTACATAGTGCCACTCCTCAATGTCGCTGTCGTTGATGGCCTTGACTCTATTGCGCACAAACTGGCGCCAAGTGCCCTTTCCTTTCAGCCAGTGCAGTACCGTAGTGCTATCAACCCATCCATGAATCTCTTCGATTTGGTAATCTTCCAGTGCCTTCTTCACACAGGCGACCAGTTTGCTCAGCGTATGAGCTGCTATAAGCTCTAGTCGTGGGATGGATTTCTCTGGTGCAACCCTTGCTTTTGCAGTGAGCAGGTGCTGGCTTGGTTCTTGATCGTTGTAATATGCAACCACGTAAACACATGCTGCCACAGCCATTTTACTCGCATCTGCAAAACCATGTAATGTGATGTACGCTACTTTTCCTTGAATGACACTTCTAGAGACACTCAGCGATGGCCGCTTGATCAGTTTCTTGATCCAATTCTTCCACAAAGCTGCTACTTTACTCTTTATTTCTTCATCCCATGCCAACTTCTCCTTGCAAACTTGACTATACAGTAACTTGGCGGTTATAATGACTGCTGAAGCAAGTCCTAACGGGTCGAACACACCATTAATCACTGACAGCATCTTCCTTTTTGTTAACACACCATCATTTCCCGTCTCTGCACATCTTGACAGGCTAATTGTTAACTCGTCGTTTTTCTTGTTCCATGGAATTCCCAAGATCTTCGTCTCACATGATTTTGTACCAACTTCTGTCTTTGCATACGTTGTTGAATCTTCTTCTACTGACGTAGACACATTCTTCTCTGGTGTTGGGACTTCTGCTTCTGGAACATTGCTGTGCCATTTGTGTAGGTCAAATCCACCTTCCTGTAAAATCTGCGTTGCTTCTGCCTTGAACTTGAGCAGATCTTCTTCTTTATGACTTCCAAACTGTACGTCGTCCACGTAGGTATTCTTTAGCAAAGCCTCAACTGTTTCCGGGAACCTTTTTGTATACTGGCTGAGGTGGTTTTCCAGTGTAGCTCCGAGGATATATGGGCTTGGTGCTGAGCCGAAGATGACCCTTGTGAATCTGTAAGCAATCATTTTGCGTTCTTCTAGGTTGTTATACCAAACTAAACGTTGTGAATCGCGGTCAGCAGGGTCCAACTTTATTTGAAGGAATGCCTTCTTGATGTCACCAGTGATGCAGAGAGGTAGCATTCGGTTTCTCAGCAATATATTCAGTATCAATGGCTGCAAGGGTGGTCCCTTTTCCAAGCAGTCGTTAAGTGAAGGGTCCTCTGGGCTGGATCTTGCCGAGCAGTCGTACACAATTCGCATTTTAGTAGACTCAGCATCTTCCCTGATAACTGGTTGGTGGGGCACATAATGGATGATTTTACCACTTGGTTCTTCTGGAATTGATTCCAAAATCCCTTCTTTGACTTGTGCTTCCATCACCTCGTGGTACTCTTCCAGTTTCCCCAGCTTTTCCAACCGTCTTGTTGTACTGTGCAACCTGGCCACAGCAAGCGTCTTGTTTGTTGGCAACTGGACATGATCTTCTTTCCACGGCAGTCTAGTAGAATAAGTGCCATCACCTAGTCGTTGTAGGCTTCCTTTGAAGGCTTCATGAAAACCATCTCCCGGTCCACTGTCTGTGTCTGCCAACCCTAGAACTTCTATTGAGCACATTTTTTCAAATTCTTCCTTTGGGGATAGCATCAAGAAGATCTTCTCTGTTCCTCCCTCAGTGTCCACGGTTCTTCCAGTCAGGGTCCATCCAAGCATAGTGAATTCTGCCCCGGGGTCGGCATCAGGATTTGGTCCAAGCACTGGAGGCTCTGTAGTCTTGATTCGTTGAAAATCTGCAGCACCCAAGATGATATGGATCGGTAGCCTATCTTCTTCCATATTTTCATCACCGAAAGTCAAACCTCTGAATCTGCTATACTTTGCCTTCAATGCCTTGATTCTTGGGTTGGGCAAGTATGTTAGAGTATCCTTCTCTCCGTTGATACACTTTAGGTCCAAGCAGAAACCATCAACCACATTGGACTGTACCGTGACCTTGAATATTTGCACTCTTCTTTTTACGGTGCCATACATCTGCTCAATGTTCTTTGTCTCAACACCCACTGGCTTCAACCGTAGCTGCGTTATGAGGCTGGTGCAGATATACGAACTGCTTGATCCACTGTCCACCATAATACGTGCTGGTATTCCATTTACTTTGGCCAAAATTGTCGCATGAAGGGTAGTTGTGACATCTAGTGCTCTCTTGCCCATCTCAGATTGCTGGTTCGCATTTTCTTCTCTACTCAGCGTCGTCGCATCGCATAAGGAGGTGTGGTGTCGCCTATCGCACTTTCTACACCCTCTGGATCTGCACTTGGAAGCTGTGTGCCCATAGCCAGTGCAATTAAAACAGAGCCTTTTGTTCTTCACAATCTCTCGCCTTCGAGCCAAATCAAGTACCTTCTGACAGTCTGAACTTTTGTGATTGTTGTAGTCGCAGTAGACACAACTGTTTTGTTTTCCCTTTGCTCTGTCCATTGTGTTTGCTAACATCATTTTGTCTCGTGGCTTCCACTCTGCTTGGTAGTCGCTAGACCTCTTCTTGGTACCACCAATTTCACTAACTGGTAACGGATGTCTGTCGATGTATTTCTCCAGATTTTCCACAAGTTCCTGTAGGTCCCAATTTTCCCAGTCATCATCCTTCTGAATCAAAGATTCTTTCACCGATCCAAGCTTATCAACTAGCGTGTAGACATAGCTTTGGGCGCTATCCAGCTTCTTCATGGTCACCAGAGTGCGGACAATCCTTGCCAATTTGTTGTAGAAATCGTGGATCTTCGCAGTGTTGTGAATGCTTGAAATTGATTCCAGCCCTTCAAGCTCCTTGATTAAAGCTTTGTGTATTTTGATGTCCTTGCCATAGGTCTTTTGCAGGATCCTTTTAGCTTCCTCGTAGCCATCTGCAGTGTGGGGTAGGCCCAGGATGTCCTCTTTAGGTTTCCCGTCTAGCAATTCTAGCAAGTAATTAAACTTACTGATTTCTGCAATGCATGATGCATCCACTTCTACCATAAACTGATTCCAAAATCGGAGCCAGTCCTTGTAATCTCCCTTGAATGGAGTGATCGTGTACTTCTGAAGTTTCACCGACTGCTGCTGCGGCTTGACATGTACATCTTCCTCTTTTCGCTTCTTTGCCAGTTCCATCTCCATTTCCAATTTTTTATTGTACCATCGCTCCTCTCGTTCTTGTTCACGGATTTTTGCCTCTTCCTTTTCTTGTTCCCGTCTTCTGTCAATTGATGCTTTTTCTTCTATAAGTCGCCGTTGGTGCTTCAGCTCGTCTTCTTTCTTCTGTTCTGTCTCTCTTCGTCTAAAGCCATCCAGCTCTTCTTTTAGCCTTTTCCTCATGTTTCGGAATTCTTTGATTTTTTCCTTCTGCTCTTTGTTCCATTCCCGTACTTGATCGATTGTCCTCTCCTCAGCAAGCATTTCCTCTGTGATTTTGTCTTTTGAGATTTCCAGTTTTCTTGTGATTTCGCAGACTCTTTCATAGGCCACCTCTATTTCCTCCTTTTCTCCTGACTCCAAAGCCTCTTGAACGTCTTCCAACACGATTTTACCAGTTGTTAGTTCTTGGTTGTATTTTTCCTCAGCTGCCATTTTGCCCTTGATATCCTTGTCTTTGATGTGGTCCTGGCAGGGTCGCCACTTTTAGTGTGGGGAATCTCGTAAGGTCGTAGTTAAGGCCCTGTTACCTGAATCAAATTCCCAGTGACACTAAAGAAAACTCACTTTCGTTGGTTATGATGATTATTATGCTCACAGAATGACATTCTTACGTGAGGCAACCTCAAACCCTCTCTCTTTTACTGATAGTTGCGCTCAATTTATACAATTTTCTAAATAGCCCTGGTCATGGAAACCAGGTCAAAACAAAACCAAACATTACGTAATTTTCTAAAGCTAAAATAGATCTAAGTACAAATCAAAACAAAGCAATCGATATTGCGTCAGACAAGCAATTTGTAGCGTTGGTTGCAAAACAAAGAAACCACGGTTGACGACAGCGTGCGTTAAGTCTAATACTGTCCCTGACGAAATATATCGTTTTAAGCGATTACCTAACTTTTAAGATTTACCACAACGGAAAGGTCAAATAGCACACAAGTTGCCTAAGGGTATGAAGAGTTTTCACAAACAAAAGCCCCTGAAGGACAAAATTTCAGTAACATTGGTTATATTCTTGTAGAATGGAAATATGCAAAACGTAAGGAAGGTGGCCATAACGAATAGCTAACAATATAAATTCAGGGCGAATAATAAATAGTACAAAAGCCCCTCGAAATTTTAACTCTGATTAACTTTGAGTTGATAATAATTTTTCTCCAGTTACTCCAATAATGCTGTTTCTGCTATTCCACAAATTGATTTTCGTAATGCTAGACATTTGTTGCCATTACAGACAGTAGGTATGCTTTTGTGCTTCGCTCGTATCTTGTTTTTTCTGAACAGAGAGTTTCCGAGTAGTGCAATTTTTTTAGAGGAAATTGCTAGTTAAAACAGTTACTAATCTGAGTAATTTTAGCTGTTATTGCAGGCTAATTGTAGCTGATAAGATAAGAGACAGATAGCCAATGACCTCCCATCTGTACTTCAATTTACAACTTTCAACCGGCTTGCGAGACCTAGAAGTGTTTGTAAATGTAAAAGACCATTGTAAATGTTTTCTGGTCGCAGACGTGTAGCCAAATAATCGATTATGCAACGTACTTGGGTTCTTCTTAGGAAAGTTGATTTCGATAAGTCAGTAAATGGGTGGGCTAGGCTGATGGGCCTAAACCCCGAATAAGTAGCACGCAATAGCTACTCCTTTCTTGATGTTATCGCTATAGAGTGGCGGAGTGCGACGTCATCTATTTTTAAATTTAAGAATTCTGACTCTATATCCTAAAAGAACACCACGAAATACCTCTTAATGTGCAAAATCAGTTGACAGAGTACAGAAAACATGACGGTTCTACGGCTGTGAAGAAGGCCATGTCATGTATAACCTCAAAAGAGTGATAAAAGTGAGAAGAATTTACTGTTGCCCTGGAAAATTTTTAGGAAGGTATAAAGTGCAAAAGAATCTTCCGCGGGGAGGTTGAGGTATTTTCTGAACTCTGACAGTTGAATCTGTTTGGAATCCACTGCGCTATTGGCACATGTGCACGTGCCCTTTCCCCAGGTTTTAATATCTATGAACCAGACAAAAAACAGTGTGCATGTTATGTGTAATTATGTTTTCAAGTTCTAAAGTTCATAATCTACCCTTCAGTGTTGACCGTCGCAACTAACATCGTATGATATCGCTCTTAGTATAGATTATTTTAATTACGAATTCTGTCTAGGTATTTTCGTGTTCTGCAATTAAATCAAACTGTAAACCCCTTGCTCTTTGTGGGCAAAAGGTCGGCAGCAGTTACCCCCCTTCCACTTTCAAATCAAGATGTTTCGTTGGGCTAGATTTATACCATACGCATTCAATTGATTCAAAAATTTCCATATTTATCCCAATCCCAAGCTAACTGAATGTTATCAAATGCGACAATGCGGTGGAAATCGACAGAGAACAGAAATTTCGTGGTATTTTTTCCATTGATTTGAAAGCCTATAATGCGTACGGTACACAAGCATCGTTAAAAACAATGGTTTGTATTTTATTTGCATGGGGCAAGTGTTCCCCGTGGGAGCTTCACCTATACTCGTTACCAGGCCTCTGTGGCCTCGTTGGATCCACTCTGTCGGTGCCTTTCGCATGCGCAGACGCTACCCACGTTCTCTTCATCATTCGCCATACTTGTTCGTTGAACTACAGTGTGGGATTTGGTGTCAGTCGTCTTTTTGACGCTCACTCCAAATTGTTCAATAAAAAGCTATAAAAAGTACAAAAAAAGTTTAAAATTTAAAAACTCGTTATAAAAATACGCTTATCGACAAGGAGTCGACTGAAACAAAAGGAAACTCGGAGTAAAGCAGAACAACCCCGGACCACATCAACGCGCTCACGGCCTAACATACTGCTTGAACAGGTATCTATCTTTTAACACTAAACTTACATTAAGCGCTTAACTACTTGTTTTTGCTCTTTATTTTTTCTTGTTTGATCAAAGCTCGTGTTGTTGGCTTTTTAGTTTCTTCACGTTTGTAGCCGCCAAGTAACAGGAAGAATCGCAGGTTTAATTTCAGAACGAACGAAACTGAACAGGGAACGGCTTATTCATATTCATCTAATTTGTTACGAAAGTGTTAAAATATTCCTACTGTATATTCGAGTCTAGGTTTTTTATGTTACAAAATAACTGACACTTTGTTAAGGATGTTTTGTCTTGTGTTGAATGATTTGTCTTGACATCAAGCAACAGTAAGGAAAAGTTTTCAAATTGGCGACAAAAAAGCGTGTGAAGCCATCACAGTTAAACTTTTGGTGTCTGCCATCATGTGCAACGACTCTAATTAACATTTTCTTCGTAGTATCTAATTTTAAGGGATTTTAAGAAAGAAAGCTAAACTAATTCTTGTCAATTTACACAGATTCTTCATTTTTCACGAATAAGGCTATATTCCTATAGATGTTAATGCATCTAGTCATTGTATGCATTTCTTAGGCTTTCAAATATAGGTGTTTAAGTTTTAAAAGGGACTCTTAGACCAAATCAATAAAGGATTACCCCAGTGGCAATCAACTCAAGATCCAAAAATCATTGCCAAAATTACTTGGAACATCCAACACTTTGTCCTGTGCTTTTCTATTTTTCATTTGTTTTCCTGAATACTACTACTTCAGCCTCCCCTTCCCCCAAAAATCAAACTAGCCACAAGAAAAAACACACTCCATAACCCCTTTTTTCTATCGTATATCAACATTGTTCCTAAGAGAGAGGGTGATGGCTGAATTTGCCTTTGAAAACTGATGTTAGTGTTCCAAGATGATCTATGCCCTTAAGACTCAAAATGAACTATATATAGTTGTAAACGCAAAATAGGTCCTCTTCCCCCCAGAGATGAGCACTGATGTAGTCAGAAATGATATATTTGTGTTGCTCAGTGCCATGTCCCAAAAGTAAGAATGCACTAACTGGGTGCCAGAACCCTTGCAAACATAAAAAAATATTCTGGTGTCTAAATTATCTAAGGCTCTGCCTGTCACAAATCTGTGGTGTTAGAGGCCTCAATCCCTGTTAATTCCATCTTTCAGATTTCAGAATAATTTTTCTTTGAAATATTTGCATGATAAAATGGTATATATATATACATGTTAATCTTTATATATATAATTGAAAAAGGTTAATTTAGACAGCATACATTTTGTTTAGCTGTCTGTTAAATAAGTGTTTTTAGTTTGTCAATTCTTGTCAATTTACACAGATTCTTCATTTTTCACGAATAAGGCTATATTCCTATAGATGTTAATGCATCTAGTCATTGTATGCATTTCTTAGGCTTTCAAATATAGGTGTTTAAGTTTTAAAAGGGACTCTTAGACCAAATCAATAAAGGATTACCCCAGTGGCAATCAACTCAAGATCCAAAAATCATTGCCAAAATTACTTGGAACATCCAACACTTTGTCCTGTGCTTTTCTATTTTTCATTTGTTTTCCTGAATACTACTACTTCAGCCTCCCCTTCCCCCAAAAATCAAACTAGCCACAAGAAAAAACACACTCCATAACCCCTTTTTTCTATCGTATATCAACATTGTTCCTAAGAGAGAGGGTGATGGCTGAATTTGCCTTTGAAAACTGATGTTAGTGTTCCAAGATGATCTATGCCCTTAAGACTCAAAATGAACTATATATAGTTGTAAACGCAAAATAGGTCCTCTTCCCCCCAGAGATGAGCACTGATGTAGTCAGAAATGATATATTTGTGTTGCTCAGTGCCATGTCCCAAAAGTAAGAATGCACTAACTGGGTGCCAGAACCCTTGCAAACATAAAAAAATATTCTGGTGTCTAAATTATCTAAGGCTCTGCCTGTCACAAATCTGTGGTGTTAGAGGCCTCAATCCCTGTTAATTCCATCTTTCAGATTTCAGAATAATTTTTCTTTGAAATATTTGCATGATAAAATGGTATATATATATACATGTTAATCTTTATATATATAATTGAAAAAGGTTAATCTTGTTATCAGTTGCTTTTGAACAATATTAGCTATATATATGTTAGTTGAAGATAGTTCCTATAAATGTGATTTTAAAAGATATTGAGTCAAATATGCTAAGAGATGTCTTATAAAAAACTACCCTATACATAAAGTTTCTTATGTAAAAGCAGACATTCATTGTTAAGAAAACCTTGATAAATTTTCTGTACTTATAATTTGTGCTAAGGCACATTCAGAAGTGGTAAAACATTATTTGTGCCTTGCGGTTTTGTCAGCTTTTGGTCTCTGTTTATATTGCTGGAAGGCTGGTTACGATTTCAAGCTTTACCATGTAAGCTTTTAACCAAATTTGAATAAATGACAGTGCTTTTACTCATTAGCCCTTTTTGTAATTGTATGAGAAAAATCAGACAATAATCTTTTAGGATATGATGTTAGTTTGACTCAAGTTAAACATGCAATTTATGTTAACTTTAAATTATGTTTGTGATCTTTCTTTTCAGTATCACATAGCAAAGTCAAGTTCCTGTAAAATTATTTGTTTGCAAGAATATCCAAAATGAATACTGGAGGTGGTGCATCAAGTTATCCAACAGCTTCACTTTATGTTGGTGATCTGAATCCAGATGTGACAGAAGCCATGTTATTTGAGAAATTCAGCACTGCTGGACCTGTGCTTTCCATACGAGTGTGTCGTGACTTGGTAACGAGAAGATCTCTGGGCTATGCCTATGTAAACTTTCAGCAACCAAATGATGGTATGCTTTATCATCAATGTTTAATTAACATCAAAGTATATATATATATAGATAAATGCATTCTTTGAAAATTTTTCAATTTGTTTTGCACTGGATGAAAAAATGTTATGTATATGAACATATATTTATTACCATTGCATTGTCAATGCTGAATTAACAGTACTTGATGTTCAGTAGCACAGAGGAATTGATATAGTAGAAGTTAGGCTAAAAATAAATAATTAAAACTAAATATGTTTGCTGTTACTCAGAGTTTTGTGCTTGTGCACTCATCAGGCAGGCTTCAATACTAATAGGCTGCCTGTTTGATATATATATAAGACTAGTTATTATTGCTCTTTATAGTAAATGTAGTTGTCTTGATTGTCTCTAGGTTTACAGGTATCTTTTGCAATGCTTTTATTATATACCATTATTTGTGCAAAAATTGCCCTACAGAGTTAATTTACACGTAACTTAAATGACTGTATATATATAATATTAGTATCTTTGATTATGTTTTAGCTGAAAGGGCCCTTGACACCATGAACTTTGATACAATTAAGGGAAGGCCATGCCGAATTATGTGGTCACAGCGTGACCCTTCCCTTCGCAAATCTGGTGTTGGTAACATCTATATCAAAAACCTTGACAAAAGCATTGACAACAAGGCGCTATATGATACATTCAGTGCTTTTGGGAATATCTTGTCCTGCAAAGTTGCACATGATGAGTATGGTGTCTCCAAAGGGTATGGATTTGTACACTTTGAGACAAAGGAAGCAGCAGAGGAGGCCATTGACAAAGTTAATGGCATGATGTTGAATGACAAGAAAGTGTAAGTTATGCTGATATTCATGGCTAATTGAGCATACTCTCTATCACTTAAGGCTCTCATTTTTGTCAAATACAGTAGAAACCCGCATTAAAGAACCTGTCTTTATAAGAACCTTGAGTCTGAAATTTAATCAATTTTAAAAACCCCCAAGAGGCTGAAGTTTGGAAAGGTTCTCAAATATATATATATATAAGAAAAAGGGTTTTTAGAATTGTATTTTTACACCCTATTCACACTGGCAAATTGAACCAGCTAAGAGTAAATTAGATTATGGTATGTTACATTCTAATTAGACAATCTAACAACACAAATTCATTTTATTGGCTTGAAATTTAACATAAAAACAAAGCTGGTTCAAGTGTTTCTGTTGGAATTCTTGCTGTGGAAAACATTGTTAATGTGTTCAAGGCCTTTACATATACAAGAACCTTGTTAAGAACCTTCAGACTAGAATTAAGAATAGCAGCCTATTAATTAAGAACCTATTCAGGCTGTCAGAAAAAACATATGTTCTTTTATGCGGGTTTCTACTGTAAATATTTTGTCAAACACACTACCTTGGGAATGTTTTCCAAAAAAATTATCATCAATGAAACGGCAGTAATTTTAATGCCAAGTACTTTATAACTTATTCTTGTAGAGATGATATATATATGCATAATGCACTTATTGTAAGAGTCTACAATGTTGCGAACCTAAACATTTTTTTTCTAGGTTTGTGGGCCCTTTCATCTCAAAAAAGGAGCGAATGGAAAAATTTGGTGATATGCCTAAGAGATTTAAGAATGTTTTCGTCAAGAACTTTGGTGAGATGGTTGATCACGAAGAATTAAAAGAAATTTTTTCACAGTTTGGAGCTATCACAAGTTGTATAGTTATGACTGATGAAACTGGAAAGAGTCGGGGTTTTGGTTTTGCTGCTTATGAAGATCATGAATCTGCTGAAAGAGTAAGTTTTGGCTAAATGCAGTTCATGCATTTGTTATATCCTCTTTGTTGATATGCTTTGTGCAATTCTCAAATATAAAAGTTATATATATATATATATTGTACAGTTGAAAAGACGTGTACACTAGTAAAAATGCAAATTTTGCCGACTAGTTTCGACTTTCTGTCGTATTCATGGCAATCAACTGATTCCAATTACATAAAGCATATCTAAATATAGGCTATTCTAATGTGACGTTTCATTGTTTATTAATATGATGTAAGACCTCACCCCAGAAATAAAGTCTGTTGTTTGACAAAATGCACGAATGAATTGGGAAAACGAGGTTATGAAATGTATTGCCCTATATAGGGCTATTGAGTTCCATGTTTAACCCAAGCGGACTTAGGGTTTTCAGTTTTTTTATCCAAAAGTCTTCTCGTCGTTGCAATCGAGATCTTAAGAGTTCCTTGTCGCCTTCAAGAGACTTAAGCTGTTCAATTATATATTATAAATTTCGCGTCATTATTGAAGTTGTGGGAAGTGTTGTTAAAATGTTGGCAAACTGGTATTGATGCTGATTTACTTGAGTCTTTTCGGTGGTTGTTTATTCGTAGATTAACTTGTGTTTCTGATTAACCAATGTATTGTAAACCGCATTTTATACATTCTAGTAGATAGATCACAAAGTTACTTTTGCAGTTAACCTTATGTCGGATCACAAAATCTATATATATATATATATATATATATTAATATTATATAAGATACTTGCAATATAGATTTAATCGCAGAAAAATCATTTTTCTGCGATTAAATCTATATTGCAAGTATCTATCAACTGCTTTTTGCGGAATATCAACATAAATCTATATATATATATATTTCTATATACAGTATACCTACCTTATTAGAACTTATATTCTCCCGAAGAGTGAGTTATTCATGAAATATGCTTGTTACATGTAGTTTGATTTTCTTCTACTCTAAATTTTATATACCTTAATATTTATGTAAACCTGGAATCAGGCTACAAACAGAATATTGTTGATTTTGAGTTAATTTGTATATATTTGATACAATTCTAAATGAGCAACATAGACAATATCTATGTGGTGTCAATATATATGTCTCCTTGACAATTTCGTGGTTCTATATTTGTATAAAAGGGGGCGCTGTCTTTCCTTCTAGGCTGTCAATGAAATGAACAATAAAGAAATCAAAGGAAGGAAAATAACAGTTTGTCCTGCACAGAAAAAGGCTGAACGAAGCAATGAATTGAAAATGAGGTTTGAGATACAAAAGCAAGAGAGAATCAATCGTTACCAAGGTGTGAACTTGTTTATCAAGAACCTTGAGGACACAATTGATGACGAGAGACTGAGAAAAGAGTTCACCCCTTACGGCACTATCACCAGTGCCAAAGTAATGAGAGATGAGAAGAATGACTCCAAAGGTATCCTGTTTTGATCTTGTTAGAACATTCTGTTTAGATTTGATGGAATAGGCCTCTGCTCTGAAGAAGTCTTCCTGTTTCCCTCCAAGTTGTCAAACCAATGGAAGTAGTTAAGAGTAACAGAAATATATGTATATATTTGGCCTAAGCTATAAATTTTTTTTTATATTTATATATTCCAGATTGCGTTGTCTATTCTGACGTGACAGTGCTCGATTTGCAAAAGCACAGAGCAATAGATATAATAAAATAGAAGATAGGCTAGAAATGAGACATGTTCTCTGTTACTCTGAGTTTCGTGCTTGCACACTCATCATACAGCGCAAGCACGAAACTCAGAGTAACAGAGAACATGTCTCATTTCTAGCCTATCTTCTTTTTTTATATTTATTTATATATATATATATATACTTATTTAATGCTAGTGATCTTCTGTTTCATTCATTGTGAAGCAAAGCATTTGATGATAGCTGAAATTATGACTCAAAGGGAAATAATAATAAGTTAATTGATTGACCAGAAACAAAGACACCATATAAATATCATTTTATTTCTGGTGTGCTACTTGCATCATTTAATTAGTGGGCCTTGTGTAGCCATATGATATTTTCTTATATAAGTCCTTAGATGTACCCATTTTTTTATAAGTTATTGTTGTTATGACTTTGAAAGGTAAAAAGATGTTCTAATAATTTACATTTCTTTAAGTTTTTGTCGCTTTTAGTACAAAAGTTCCTAGGGAGATTAAAGTGGTAACAAACATTTCCAAAGTAGAGGTCCTTATCCATTCAGTAGAAATAAGAAAAGGTTGTTTTTTGTTTGCCAAGTGAAATCTCCTAATTTGAAAGTGGGCAGTGATTGCGAGTGAAATGACAATTCAGCTTTGCATTGCTTGTATCAATCTGTATTTTTTTGTTCTGAGAAATGTTGATATTGCATTTAGTCTGCATTCTTGTTCATGCATGTGTTTTTTTAGGATTTGGCTTTGTCTGCTTCTCGTCGCCTGAAGAGGCCACTAAAGCTGTTACTGATATGAATGGGAGGATTCTTGTTTCCAAGCCCCTTTATGTGGCATTGGCTCAAAGAAAAGAGGAGAGACGGGCTCAACTTGCCACTCAGTACATGCACCGTGTGTCTAGTTATGGCCACGCTGGTGGTGCATTGCAGTCCCAAATGTACCCACAAACAGGAGGAATCTACATGTCACCTTTTCCTCAGGTTTGATATTTCTCAAACGCTTTACAGTCAATGTGCACAAAGATGGAGCTGCTCAAGACAGCATACATTTTGTTTAGCTGTCTGTTAAATAAGTGTTTTTAGTTTGTCCTGTTCCCTTTGAAAAAATTTCTCTTAAGATTTGAGCATTTATATACATATATTTGATTGTGAGTCGTTTTGGAAAAGATACAAGTATTTAATTTCGAAGCGAGCGATTTTTTTAAACTGGTGACTCTAAATTTCCATTTTTCAAACTCAGAGGGCCATTGCTTTGCAACAAGCGCAAGTTCCAATGCAAGGCAGACCGAGATGGGCAGCCCCAAATCAAAATCAAATACGATCAAATGTGTCATACATCCAGACTAACGTTCAGAGGCAGCCGAGACCACGTCAGTCGATGGGGGCTAGAGGAGTCAACCCACAGGCTTTGGCTGGACGAGGTGCTATGCCCCAGCCTAGACCATCTGTGGCACAACCAAGACCTCCAGCATATAAGATCACTGCCACTGTTCGTAATCAGCCAGCACAGGGCAATGTTATGAGCCAGCCAGCCGTCCCACAAGCAGACCCAGGAATGTCAGTGCAGGTAAGCCGCTGTCACTTCAATATACGTTGGTGTAGCGAAACTTTGAGGCATAGTTTTACAATGACAAAGATTTGCGTTTGTGCAAGGAAAGGTTTAATGAATTATCCAGGAAAGAAATTGGACCGTTTAGGATTTTGCTATCATTTTCTAATTCTGTATAGAGTTTAAGCTTCTGGAGGCACTTTTTGCTTTCTGTTTTTGTTTCATCATAAACCTGAAAGCAGGTGTAATGCCAAAGTTTTGAGTTTTGACGTGGTATCCCTAGGCAATGGTGTTGCCAAATGAAACATGGTAACCATCATGTTCTAATGACTGACTTTGTCAATTCATTTCACTGCAAACAAAAGTTTGTCAAGCAGTAGAAATGTCAATGTTTATCACCATAAATGTCTGTCCATTGCGTCCAAAAATACTTAAAAAAATTATCCGCTAAAAACTTCTCTCTCTGACAAGGACTCACACATTGCGGAAGTTAAAGAGATTGCTAGCACAACAAAGACAAACAATTTTAAGGTTAAACATTAATGTTGCAGGGTTTTTTATATGTGACAAAAATGAAGCGGAATATATTATCCTCCCTAATTTTTCCTTTCCATTTGATTCCAATAATTTTTTGGTCATCTCTTGCTTAAATGTCATCGCTGTATTTTTCACTAAAGCATCAAATTTCGCATTACAAACTAGTCTTTCTCGCTTGTGATTGCCAGTAGTGTATCCGTCCGCTTCCATAAAACTCATGCCTCCATGACACACATGATGACCTTAGAACAAAGTGAAATATTTTTCGTTTCACTCAGTGTGAAGTTTGGGCATTTTTTTCAAGACCAAGTAGATGAAATGTGAGAATTTTCCAGTGTGCACCAGTGAAAAAGTATATGTGTGAACTAGAACTTATGTAGATTTTTTCAGTTATCTTAAATAGAAATTTGGTAAAGGATATAATTTTAAATTTTGAAGGATCCATTGACTGCATCATCTCTTGCCAATGCAACACCCCAAGAGCAAAAGCAAATGATTGGTGAACGACTGTTCCCTATGGTGCAAGAATTTGAACACCATCTTGCTGGAAAGATCACTGGTATGTTACTGGAAATTGACAATACTGAGTTGCTGCATATGTTGGAATCACGCGAGTCGTTGCACACCAAGGTTGAGGAAGCCGTACAAGTGCTGAAAGCTCATCAAGCCAAGGAAGCCGCTACTGCCGCCTCTGCGCCCGAGGGTGTTTGAGCGGGCGGAAAGCGTATCAAAGCAACAACAGTGACTACAATATTTCATTAATTGGCGCCAATTTATTGGTTTACAGGATGTGACGTTTATGGTTTGAATAAATCAAGATTGAAGAAACATGAGTTGTAGTCAATGATTATAGATAAAAGCTGATTCCTTGTCTACATGACCTTAAAATCTTTTTTATGTCTTGCTCGTTATGCACCAGACCTTCTCGAAGTTTAAGGAGACACAATGCAACTGGTATTAAAGCCACCGCTTGCAACTATCTTATGATTAAATAGCATCAACTTAACTTAAACTTATATCTCTTACGAACGGCATCCCTTTGATTTTTTCTTTTTTTCTTAACCAATCCTTTCACATAGAGCCACTACTTTTTAGTTTGTTTTGTTATCCATGTTCGGTAAGTTTTTGTTGTTGTTTTCATATGCAAAAATGTCTATTTTTACAAGTTAATAGGGTAAAAAGGAAATAGGGACAATAATATTCTTCCTACTAGATGTTTTCAAATACTTATAACTGGAATTTTCATCAATTTTTCCCTGATGCTGTGATAATTCCTATTGCCTTTTTCGATCGTCTCCTTCCTTGGCCATTTGCAGCTCGTCTAGGCCTGCCATTTCGTGCAACTGTTATTGCAATAAGTTGAATTTTCCCCTATTCTTCCATATGATCCTAGTTTTCAAAATATTCTCGGTATCCTCTTTTGTTTCTTCAGCACTTGTTTAGGAATTTCCTTCGTCGTCTCTTACATTCCTTGTTTGCAATCTTTCCGTTCTCTTGCCACCTAAAACTTCCTACTTAATTTCAATATTTATCTTCCGTTTCTTCTTTTTAAGAATGAGCATCTAGACTTTAATGGCCAATATTTTTTGGTTGTATCTTTTCTACTGAACATTGCATCTTTGATACTTGTAAAGGTTGCTTAACTGAATTGAATAAGATTCTTTGTAAATGCTTTCCTGAAGCTTCCAATCAGCTCATCTTGATTTTCTTCCAATTTTTTGATCATATGGTGATATAACGATCATATGTTCAATCTGCCAAATGAAAACGTTTTGATGCCTACTCCCAGCACCATACTGCTCTCTCGCTCATTTCATTTGTCATATGATCTCAGTACACTTTCAGTCAACGTTGCTACATTCCAGGTCGCTAGATTTTGATTGTTGACTTAGTCTTTGCCTGAAAAGTCATACTGCAGTCTCCTTACAACGAGCACCAGGGGTAAATTTTCAACGTTTTATGTAGGGTTGCTTATTCGAAGGGGGTTATCGATTAGATTTTACAATATCGCATGGACCAAAAGTATTACTGGTTTGGTTCAAATTCTGTTCGATGTACTCTATATTGAAAATTATCATTATTTCTCTTCTCGGTATCATTATAAATATCCACTTCTTCGTCATAACCATCCCCTTCAGAAACAAAGAACTGATACACATATGAGGGTACAAGTGCTTGATGGAAAAGGCGTTTAAGGATACAGGCGCTCGTTCTAAGGGGGCACTTAATTGTAGATTGACGGTAAAATCCCACGCAGCAAATTGTTGTCTATTTTCTTCTATGTTGTGTGTTGACAAGGCTTGCATCTCAAGAAGTGCTACAACGGCCTGATCAACCATGAAGGACATGATCTTCAGCACAGGGTCCTGTGCTTATGTAAACTTCACCTATTTTACAGTTCTTAGCATTCCCAGGATCCACTGCGCGGACTACGTAGCCTCCACAATGGTTTAAAGCTGGAAACAATACTCGTCCCATAACATTCATTTTTCTTCTTTGCGGTCTGAATAAATGATACTTAACGGACTTTTTACTGTTATCAGTGTACTAAATCTAATACAAAAAAAACCTGTTTCTTTCCTTCAACAGCTTTTATCGTTCTCAATCAGCGATAAACTCAAACATAAGACAGTTCTCAGACTGTGCTGAACATTCTTATCGCAACAGTTAATGCATTTTCTCCTTCATTCGTTTGAGCTTCGATCTGTAAGCAGAGTTTTGCTTGCAACTAAAAAAGTATCTCTTCTGATTGCTGTTGCGTCAAATGTCCTGCTCTCACGATAGCGCTTCATCCAGATTTGCATCTTATTGCAAGGCAAACCGACAAACCAAGCTTCTCGTAGAGCGATAAACCATGCAAAGATGCCGATGCCTTTCATTTGCCTTGCAATTTTCAAAAATTCTACTTTTCTCTCTATAATCTGTCTACTGCCATGCTTTGGTTTTCAGCATTCAAATGAACGTACATGAAGGTTGTTTCACAAAGTCGTTTAATGGTCATCTTCATTCAAATTCATTTTTATTGTGTCTATGCTACGTAGAGGAGATGAAAAAGAAAAAAGTTTTGATTGTTTTCTTTCTGGTAATCTTCGAGGCACGTCTCACTTCTCGGAAGGAACTAATTTATTATAAAAATTGGGGGAGGGGTAACACTTTGGCAAAATATATTTTGTGACTTGACTCTGGCTTTATGCAACGAAACGTCATGTACGTACGCAATTTGTAAATTTAGCGTGGAGAAACCTTGTTGGAAAAAAGGTTTTCCAGACATAAGAAAGAGAGTGGCCTAGTTTTTTTAGCGGGCTCTGTTTGTGGATATTTAAGGGGCGCAAAATTCAAAGTCTGACTGTTAGATTGAGCATGTCAGTCATGGTTAAAACTTGACAATTTTGCTTTTACTAATTTCTCGAGGCATCCCAATCACAGGAAGGCTGGTAACTGGAAAATTTTAATTAAATTTTTCTTACATTAATTTACTAACTCGGGAATGAAATACCAATGCAATATAAAGGGCATAAAGCTCCCTCAGAAAAACTGCCATAGACATCAGAAGGTCAGTCATGAGGCTACGTTCCCACATCGGGAGCGAGTTGGACTGTTGGTGTATCGGCGCAAATCGCTCAACCTACCATATAGGGGTTACTAAGGGAAGTTACACAATAACTCCCAAATATGATTGATAATTGGGAGGGAATGAACTGGAAAAGCCTCTTTTCCCCACTAATAGCCGATGTACCAGTCCTACCTAATAGCACCAGAAAACGCTAAAAAGCATAAAAGATGCCTAAAGGCATGAGAGCTTTTAACGATGCCATAAAAAAACTCAACACGCAAAGCTATACTAAAAAGGTATTTTGGGAAAAAACACATTAAACAGCCTAGTTGTATTGTGGCTTCACCAAGCAAGATGAAACTCACGCTATGCCAAAAAACCCTCAAATACCCCTAGATTAACCAAGAGAATAAAAACGCTACGAAACACAAATCTAACCCTAGTTTAACAAATCAACTTCTCAGGCCGAAAAACCCCCCGCATTGCCCCTAAACTAGCAGAGCAGGTACAAGGAAAAACGCGAGGAAGCGTGGCACAAGAAAACATAACGAATAAGCAATAACACTAATCTCAAGCGATTTAGTTAACGCTCAAAAGCCCCTTGTGAAATTCACTCTGATTAAATTTCATTTAATCATCATTTCTTGCGTCCTTAAAGTTAGGTGGAAGATTTGCGGAAATTTATTAAAACAGATGAAAAAGATTCTTGCAAACGTTACAGCACAGTATCTCGGGAAAGAAAAACGACAGAGATTATGTATGATCTCATACATTATCCTGACGCATCGGTGTATCGAATGCATAGGTGAATAAAATCATATATCGTTGAATTTAATTTATTTTGAAAATCTCATTTCATTGGATTCTCGTCGTTTTATTGCTATTTTCCTGTTCATCTTTGGTATTGAAAGATAGCTGTACTGTCGGACACACTTCAAGACATTTGTTTAAAATATTCAATTACATTTTTTTAGCCATTATTTTTTAACTTTACTGACAATTCACATGAGTTAACAGTTAACAAATCTGTATCAAATCTAACTGATTTTGCACATGTAGAAGTATTTGATCGTGTCCTTTACGGTTATGCGTTGTAGGTAAAAACATTAATATTTATGACGTCATCACTTTGGCACTCTAATGCTTTTGGTCTCGGTGTTCTCATAACATTTCCTGTGATTGATGATGATTGCTAGAACTTCTTGACTCGTAGGCGATGGTTGCTGATGGTCAACGATGCGAGAAAGCTGCTGCTCTTATATCATCAGCATTGCAAGATATTGATTTGTGACCATTGTTGTGAAGGAGCAGCACGCGGTTAATCCTTCACTCGTTCCTAGACCTCGAAGTTGCATTAAGTTGCGAAGTTGCTCGAAGTCAGTTGTTCACGCCACGTTGTAATGAAAAAGTTGTTCACGTTGGATCATGTTTATTGTAAATAGTTTATTATGTTCCTGTTGATGTTATGAAATGTTTAAATACCCCAATGATGTCTTCTTCAAATGTCCTGACCTAAATCTCTAAAACAACCATCACCAATGGTCTGCAATGTATGAGAACCAGGTTGAAGTCTCGTATTGCCTCCTATCTATTGATTGATTAATGTTTAGACAACCTTTCACCAATTACCCCACTGCACTTATGTCTAGATATAGATGCCTTCGCCTCAAATGCAGTGCGCCCTTGCCTTCAAATGCTGTGCACATTCAACTGATTTTTTGTCGCAGAAGACGAAGATTTTCGCCCCCTACAAACAACACGACTGTTTTGGGATTCCACCTTTTGTTGTTATCATTTTCCAGTGAACAATGTTCTATCCTTTCTGGCGGGAGAGAGTTCAAGGTAAGTCACATGATCCAAAAATGTACGTTTGATTGGTTTAAGAATGGAAAACCTGTCTTTCGACTCCGTACACTGCTCGATTGTTGTCTTTGGTCGCAAATGAACTCCTTGATTTCAAAGTTAATCGTAAAAGATAAAAATCTTCGTCTTTTGGGATAAGAATCGGCTCTGTGTGCGCTAGGCTTTAGTGGGGGTATACACGCTTTAAATTTTATTATTAAAAGCTACAGAACTAGAATTATGTAAAGTAAAATTTTCTTCTTGTGTTCTTTGTAAAGAGATATTTTCTAGATACGATAATGCATGAATAATTTGTAAGCACATCAATAAGAGTTTGCCTATCTTTTAGGGAGACGTGTGGTTCCTTTCCATCCGCCCTACAAAGTGTGAAGATCATGAGGAAGGAAACATGCCACAAAAGCGTTTTTATATGATAAGCATAGTCATGAATTTCACTCATAAATGTCAACAGAACACGTTGGAGCATGTGTTTTTAACGCGCTAAGGGTTCTATGCATATTTACAGCAAGCACAACAGATCTATCTCCAGTTCAAGGTTTTCTGAGGATTGGCGTTTGTCATTCGAGTTAATCAATCTTGTTTATCGAAATTGCTGTAAGCTACCACAGAACAGCACGCTTCGTTGTTGACTTTAAGCAACCTTGGGACAGTTCCAATCGCACTCCTAGCAAGTACGCCTGATAAGTGATATCTGCACCGTTGATTTGGTTGGAATTGAAGAACTGTAGCTGCATTTGGATAGAGGTAATTCGAATAATGTATTTCTTTATCATGATTATGAATTTTACTGAAACCTCAAATTTCCTGTGAATTGTTCAAGGCATTACGCAACCAAATAGAAGGAAGATCACTTGTCGGATCTACTGGATCCAGATAAAGGGGATTCTTTAATCTTAGCTTGAAGGCCCCTGATAACGTGTTGTCCACTAACGTTCGCTATAAAAACAAAACTGTTTGCTCCACGATGTGTCCCTAATGTTGAAACACATCTTATTCTTATAATTCATGAGCAAATTTGATCTTAAAGTTCATGTTCAGTCACTTCGCGTTCTTTTTCGTGACATATTTCAACAATAACATACACAAATATATGCAATGTCTTGCTATCAAAAACTTATTCTATTTCATCCCCTATTGTCGCTAACCCTCATTCATAATATCAGCTTCTTTCTGTGTTTGTCTTAAAACTGTTCATTGATAATTCTTTTTGCTGTTCTAAGTGTTGGTTTTTCTTCCTATTCATAACTTTTTGCTGACTGTTCTTTTTCTCTGCATTTTCCTTTCGTTTTTTTCCTTTTTTATATTTTTGCTGTTTTTGTCAATTTGTTTTTCTTCTTCTTTGCCGTTTTAAAAAGTTTCTATCTTTTCTATCTTGAATCTTTCTACCTTTTCGTTTCATTTATTTGTTGGCCTTTCATTACACAGAGCATGTTGTGTTCTTCCCTATTTTGCTGACTTTTCCTATCTTTTTATTGTCGCTCTTCTAGAATAAAAGGACATTTGTCCCAGAATATGGATAAATGAGTGAATATCTCATGTTACTTTTATTGCGAGAGAATAAAAAACATTAAGTAAAGAGAGTTGAAACATTATAAATAAAAGTCTAATTGTATAATTATTCAAAGCTTTTGACATTATTTGATAACTAGTATGAAGGGAGACAAAGAATAAGGAAGGCTATAAGAGCAGGGATACGGCTAGAGCAAAAACAACTAGTTCACATGAGAAATTCGACGGATGATGCAGTATTGTGCAATCACCACCAGCTTGTAATCGAGTCCAAATTGAGCACTTTGGTGTTAATCATCTCCTATAGCAGGTGTTTCTGATGCATTAGGCTTCACTGTAACTTGCTTTCACGCAAGGCTCTCTGTTTTTGTCGTCATTTTCGCTTGATTTAAACACATTAACACTGTTCAAATATCAAGATCAATGCCGGCCGTGAACTTCGCAAAATATGAACTTTGCTAATGCGCTTTCAATCACAAATTAAAACTTTTTGCAGTTACTTAGTTAGTTAAAATTGGTCAATTTTACGATTCGCGTATTTTATGATTCGTATGCTGATATATTTTCGATAATACAAACGTTACTCAAGAACAATAGGAACTAAGCCTTGTATGAATTTCGAAGCTAAATTTATTCATCTTCGATGACATTTTGACAATCGTTACTTCCTAGCCAGAGCTGAAAAAAAGTTTTTTAATGTGTTTTTATACTCATTAGAAACAACTAATTTTGCTATATTTTATTACCTATCAAATTTGGAATGTTACAGGCCATACTAAAACCGGTCGAGATGAGACAGGATCAATCCTGGATCTGTTGAAGTTTTTTTGAAAGCTTTACCATTGGTCTAGCGTGGGGCCAAATTTCAAACTGGTTTGCTTAAAAAATGTTCAAGAAAAGTTCGGTTAGAAGACCCGAATGAATCTCGTTCGCCCGGCCCTGCATAAACGCAGCACGGGTGTGCATTAATTTGGATTCCATCTTTATTATAAAGACCGAACTGTACTGTACCAGATCTAAATTGGTCTGTTTCAAAAGCGATTTCAAGAGAGTAACGGTCGTTACTAGACCTATCGTTACTAGTTTTGAATCAATCTTAGCGCTAAAACTAGACCTTAAAAGAACCTGGTCTAAATCGGTCCGCTTCAAAGCGATTCAAAAATTCTACAGTCGCAGACCCGAATGAATCAGAACCATCAGGTTCAGTGTAAACGCAACATTGTACCTTGCTAGTTTCTGAAGTTTGAGAACGAATGGAGCTTTTTTATGAATGGGCTGTTAGCATGGCAACTTTAATGCTATTACTGGAGCAAGAATCAGTAGTTGTGAGGAGAATGGAAGACATTACCAATGCTTTCCCTTCATAGTCGTTATTTGGATGCTATCGAGATAAAAATAACACCATGGCTATCAATCTAGAAATTTTCAGATCTACAATAAGCAAGAAACATTTAAGGAGCCTTGCAATTCTTTTCCATCGATATCAATAAAATGATCTGGTATTTAACTGGTGTTGTTTTTACAATTTTCTTAATCGCATGCAGACCTGCAGTTTTTGAAGATCAAATTAATTGTGGTTTTTTGTTTGATTGTTCCTGTAGAAGTCCGTTCCAATAGTTTATCTTGTTTAAATACAGGTTTATTGGTTTTGATATTCACCGCAGCGCCTTTGCTTATTAATCGGTTTTGAAAGCTTTTGGGCTCAAAAAAATATTTAAGTATTTATAAAGTTGCGCAAATATTTCATTCAAAGGAGCCATTTTGTAGTCCAACAGCCGGGTAGCAGAAAATTTATTTCTTTCAAGTCATCTTTAGCTGTTTTGCATCACCAGATTGATTATTTGCTTTCTTCTTGCTCGTTTTTATGCAAATATGAATCTTGAATGATTTCAGTAAAGAGAAATCATTGATGCATTTACCTAAGCAACGATTTCACAAAGCAACCAATTCCATTGTCATGAGAAGTAAGCAAATGTTAAGATCAATGAAGCTTTGAGTTTTTGTGCAGGTCTTAAAAGCATCCCTGTTAGCTACCTTTTTCTTTCTCTTGCCTCACGTCTCTTACGCACCTTGTCATTCTTTTCCAATTGATTATGCGATTACCTTTCGCAAATACAAACACCCCTACATAATCAACTTCGTATCGGTAGCCAGCATTATGGTGCATCTGAAAATGTCCCAAATTGCGATTTACCTGCATAAACATTATGGAAACCTCCGTTTATATTAGTTTGTTTTAGTTCTTCTCCATTCTAGATATTTCTCGTTGAATTAATTTATAGTCTTTGCTGGAGTGCAAATATTATGGTCCAGTCTTCCTTACATATAAGCTCTATAGAAGCAACTTTTATCTATCCTTTTACGCACATAGGTTTGGCCTGATTTTTTTGTTTTTCAAGGAATTTGTTTTGTGAATAGTACAGAATTGAAGGCATCAGCTCTTCACCGGCGTAGCTCCTCGTAGCATTTCCGTTGCAGCCCTAAGCTTTAAACTTTCACTCATTTAACGTAGCCCATTATCAGCTATTGATATTCATAATTTATATTCATGTTAATAGATCTCGACAACAATTCCAACAAATATGCATAAACAGAGTATCAAATAGTGCGATGTGTCCAGAAAAATGATGTTATTTTGTTTTTCTTTTGATGAAAGAATATCAAATAGATCTTGAAAATTTTCAGGTATTTCAGGTATTCCATCGAATGCTTCCTTTTAACTTTTTCGAGTCAATCTTTAACTTTAACTATTCCTCAACTATTGCTAACATCTAACTTAATCTAACTTAATAGAATGCTTACCAGGATAGATAGATTTTTTTTACAAAGTATACATAACCAGTAACAGCGTTAGCAGCCTATCAGCTCAATAGTCTGCAGTCTATTTGTGGGAATCCTGTATTTTATTAAACAAGCTGCAATTCCTGTTAAAGAAAGGCTGTTCCTGTTTATATCAATAATTAAACGCCTATTCCAATCGTTAGAATAAAAATTTCTATTGCAAGCTCGATGGCGACATCGAACTATCATTGAATAAGCGTCTTGATTGCTTCCTCTCAGAATAGTATGATCAACTTTTGAAATTTGTGGGAGAACAACCTTCTGTTTTTTATTATGCATCCTCAAACAACGTGTTCTCTTAGGATTACTGATAGAGGTCTTTGAGCCTAAACTTGCCTGGGAAATTCCTACAGGACTAGAACCCTTTGGCAGTTCCGATGTCCTGCTAGCGATTTCTTTAAATATTGCTATATGCCGGGATGATTATACCTGCTTGTTTGGCAGTAAGGGCCGGATCAATGCAAAGACAAACTAGGCCATGGCCAAGGGCCCCCATAGTTTTGAGGCCTAGTGCTAAACAAAAAAATAAAAGTGCTGCCCATAATGACAGAATCACTGCAATTGAGAAGGGGCACAAGGCTGGAACCTTTGTACTGCGCAATCAATGGATATGTGCAATGTGCGAAAAATTCAATTGTTTCAAGCACCTTACTTTGTCTTGTGCTCAACATATTTTTTCGCTTGTGTTAACAAAATAATCCAAAAGGCAAAAGAATTGAAAGGTTATTCCTTCCACTGTTGAGCGGTTTGCCTTTGCGGTTAGCAAACCTTAGCAACAACAACAGCAATGATAACAGTAACAGTAGAACAGCAACAACAAAACAACAACAAGAACAACAACAGCACCAAATTGAAAATCAGCTGCGCCAACATTTGCTATTTTAGGTGCGCAAATTTCAGCAAAAAAGTATTCTATGTCCAGAAAAAAGTTTTTTACCTGGAAGCGATATAAGTATTGAAATAGACAAAATACAGAAATAGATGGTGCACAAAACAACCTTAACCAAACGTTTTTGCTTACCTTACTGAAGCATTGGAATCTTCTATTCTAATTAGTATGTACATTATTTATCTAAAACCATCTACATATAGAAAGAGGCATTCTTTATATAAAAAGAGGACAGTTTTGTTGTGAATTTCTTGTAAAGTATGATGAATTTTAAACCAGGGTTAATTACATATGTGCATTTTGGCCCACAGAATGTTTTTGGGTCCCACAAAACCTTTATCCGGGCCTGTTGGCAGTTCATCTAAAAGACTACTGTGCTGGTCCGGCAATTTTAGTTTGAAGACCAAAATCCTTCAGCATTTCCAACGTCCTGGTCCGGAAAATAGCGCTATCAAAGAAATTGATAGATGGTAGGCAGTTTACCTTAAGGGCTAGAATCTTCAGGTGGATCCAACGTTCTGGTCTGGTCTTCACGTGGAGCCAAAGTATTTCTTGAAAAATTGTCATCAGGATAATTGATAGATGCTGGTCCGGCAATTTTATTTTGAACCCCAGAGTCCTTCAGAGGTCCCAATGTCCAGGTCCGGCATTTCTTTGAAATAGCTCTATTCATAGCAGGTATTTTAGCTACTGAGTCATTAACAGACTCTCATTTTGCCTTTGTTTGTATAGCTCTAGCCTCAGAACTGAATAATTAATGATTAGGCTTGGCATATGAATACCATGCCATGAGATAAGTGATATCTTACCATCACTCTGCTTCACGTTGTTATCAAGAAGTCAAGCGAAAAATCTCTTAAACTTGACATAAGCCCTTGACACCGCTATAGTTTCTTTAGCTCAATCAAACTATTTGGTTATTATTAACATGATACCTTAATAGCATGCTAAATTGACGGACGAAATCGTACAACAGTTATTTTGCCATCCAGCAACCTGCTTTGCGGTGTACAAGTTTGATGGCTTTTTCAATAGTACCAGTTGCATCTACAAGCGGTATGACATGTGTGTTTCCGTTTGTCGAGTCATCGAAATCCCAATGCTTTGTAGGAGGATGTTGCTACGAGTTAATGGATCACTGACACGAACGCCTCGCAAGCAGGTGCAGGAAAGATAGCGAATCCTTAGCGATTAGAACGTCTTACTGGACTTAACTATTGCCTCAGAATTGATCGTCTTTATTGGTGTGTTGATCTGTGCTGAACGAAAACAAACTCCAAACTATTCTATCTTGCCATTCCTTTTGCAGTTGGAGAGTTGCCGATGCAATGCACACAGGTCAAAATCATTGGAGAAGAAAATTTTCAACCAGCTTCCGCATTTGAATTTCTAAGGATAGATTTAGCTGTCTCATCAACATTTTCGCATATTCAGATCAGATCGTCATTGAAAGGCCTGAGCAAGCAACTGCTTCCAAGGCCCCCAACCTGCAACCATTCTTGATACGTTCGGTATCATGAATGATCTTTAGATTCTTCACGAAAGGCTTCACTCGCAGGTAGGTTTGTTACACATCAACTTACATCTTGTGTTAATGATTTATCTTCACTGAAAATTGTTTTCTTAAAGAAATAACTCTTGTTATGAAAGTGCATTCTACGTTGTTGTGTTGGTTATGTTGCACAGCCTGTAACTGTCAGTGAATATCCATTATTTATTGCAATGCTGAGTCGTGTTTCCTTGAATTTGTTGTTTAAAACATTTATCAACCTTTGGCGATTTTCATGGAAAAGTTAGGTAAAGCTGAGAGAAAGACTACAGCCTTGACATGTCTGCAGGATTTAATAACTGGATGATTCTACCGTTTCGTTATCAAATATTGTTTCCAAAAAATGTAATTCGGCAATATAATTTGAAAATGGTTTCCAAATATCTAGTTTAACCTCCCCTAAGCTTTCGTTTTCGATATCTGCAATTCATTTTGCGTTTAATAGAAGCTTTCACGTCTTCTCTTAAGTTACAACCCTCTGCTACAATCGTATTTCAGACTTTGTTACATACATTTTCGCTGACAACCACGTACAGAAATAAAATTGTTTTTTTAAATTATCTCTTCATAGTTTGGCAAGAGTGTGAGCGATCGCTAATATCATTGATGACGATAAAAGTAGTTTAGGGTGGAAAAGTAATTAGGGTCTTTCTGTATTATTTTTCTGTCATTAAACAGTTTGAGAGGCTGTTTTTTAAAATAGCCGAAATTAAGGTTTGAGCGTGCAATAGTTTTGTGAACAGTATCTAAGGAACAACACGATCTAGGGTTCATGTTCTCACCATTATTAAAGCCTTGGTGACTGCGAATCACCAGAAAGGGTAAAGCGATTAACGTGTTTGGCAGAGCAGGTGGCTATTTCAATTCTTTATAGTCGCAAAACTATCTTGAAAACTATTGAACGGCTGTTTGATTTTGAGCATTGTTAGTCACGTTTTCGCTGATGCATCGTGACCAGTCCACAGATAGCTTATTCGAGACAAGGTTAATTTTAAAGAACTTTTATCACTGCACGTATTCAAAATTTTTTGAAAATTTGAATATGCCTTTTTAAAATTTTTATGACCACACCTATCAAATTAACTGTATGTGAAACTTTAAAAATACACATCAAAGCCTTACAAGAAATTTCGATGAGGAAAAGTAGTCTAGGTTTAAACGTGTTTTCGAAAATAAAGATCTCAAAGGAGAAGATGAAGAGCGAAACAAACTAGACACCTTCTCGATACTGAACAAATTTTGCAAAAAGTTCATAGATTATGGTAATTGGTACTGTTATGTTCTTGCTTTTAATACTGTAATGCTCTTTTTTAAATGTCTACTAGCAGTTGCTGCAATTTTACTTCTTCAATACCAAATCTCTTTTTTTAAATTTTATCACTGCACAAAATTTGAGTTTATCACTGCAAAATTACGATTTATCACCGAAAAAATTGGCAATCACTGCACATAAACCCTGATTCGCGAATTCCTATTCTTTCTTTCGTTTCTCATATGTTGTACATTCTTTTCTGATATCTATGTCGTTTTATGCCATCAAGTATGACCAAATACAAGCTGTCTTGTTATGTTTTCAAAAGATCACCTTTATAGCAAAAGAAGATTTCCAAACAGTGAAGTGCAACCAAATACAGACTGTACAATATTCTTTTCAGGGGACAAAATCATATTTATGTATTTATGTTGTCTTCAACACAGCTATTCATACGCTAATTCAATTGCGGAGAAAGTGTTTTTTGTTATGACGAAATTTTTTACTTGGTTATGACGAATACATTCTCTTAATTGTAGTCGCTTAATGGCGAAAACGAATTCTGAAGCTCCCCTATAAGTTTAAACTACTCTTTTAACTTGCCGAAAGCTTCATTATCATCAATTTCTGTTTGCTTTCCATATAGATAAATACCAAGAAACCTATAGCTTTCTGTGCAGTTTACTCAATTTTTTTATCAAACTCTAAATGCAATTGCTTGTTCATATCTCAAGATTTCTTACTGAAGGCAAAATTTTCCTTTTATCTCTTTCTTGAAGTATAAAAAAGTTTGATTTTCTCCGAGTTTTCAGCTGCTAAACTTTAAGCCATCAAACAATCTGATATTCGGTATTGCATCTATCTATTCCAGGCATTGAGAAATATTTACAAAGAAGAAAGGATATCTTGGCATTGACCTTTCTGACATTATAAAAAAATATAATATTGAGGTAAAGAAGCTATGGAATGTTAGATTCATGTGACAAGGTAATTATCACATAAATTAGTCATTATTTCTAGAAACTACTTTGTGCTTTATACGCTTTCATAAAAATTTGCATCATTAATTCATAGATGTTATATCTATGTCAAGTGATATTTATCTTAAATGCTTTTTAATTCTACTTTTTGAAATATTTTATGTCTGATGTTTCATGAAGAACTATATTGTATCGCTTCATATCAAAATATTTTACAAGAACAAGCATTATTGAAAAAATAGCGGTATGATAGATTGAAAACAGCATATTTGCAGTATCTTGGTATATGCATGTATGTAATTAAAATTTAAGGGTTTTTGGCTGTGCTCTCCGTCGCTTTTGGTAGCTTCTTCTGAAACAATAAAAAAAACTTATAAGAGTCAATAAAGATGATCAAGATACTGGCTTTAATGTTGTGTAAAAGGGTTTCCTGCCAATATTGTTGAGAATACGGACTTTGCACTCTTTTTGCACCAAAGCATTTATAGGGTAGAACTTAAAGATCGAATGATGCCGATTAGGGATGCAGCTCAGTAATAAAAGAGCTGCATTAACTTTACATTGTTATTTATTTTTAGTACAGCCGGCATGTTCTCAATAACAGTAAAAAAGAAAACAAAATCTATGATCTCAGCACTTTTCTGTACACAAAAGTAGCTCTTATGCATAATGACTAGAAACCCTAAAAAACTGGATTAGTTCTTCTCTGCTCTATTTGTTGTCGAAATTCCTTAATTTTTTGGCAAAACCCTAGTTTTTAATGCATTGACACTAGATACCATCGCCAATTTATCTATTTTATCTTCAAAAATTGTTACATTTGACGACCAGACCGTTTGTTTCATGTTATTACAAATGGTAACCATCATGCCATTCTTTTGAAGAACAAAGACATGACCTCCTCGCTTGTGTCATTCCAGTACTGCACTCTTTTGAATTTACCAACGTTCCTAATCCTATCCTTTTACAGATTCTTTTGTACGGCGACAAAAAATTGCCATTTGAAGTAAATAAATTCATTTTGGAATCTACTATTCTGTATATTTCAAGAACGGAACGCTTTGAATGATCATAAAATCAGTTTCATCAAATATCCCTTAGTCTTGTGTCTCACCCACTTATTTGCTTTTTTCAGTTTTTCAAAACGTATTATCTTGTACCTGTAATCTTCTATATATATATACTTCTTTTCTTTTTTTGTAACATTGATTAAGTGTAAGTGTAGCGTTCGTATTTGTTTCTCTAGTTGCATGTAATGGCCATGGGGTTGGCATTGTCCATTGCTCTCCATGGTATCGTACCTGTAGTATCGTAAAGTAATTAGCAAGTAATGTAGAATGTAATTTGTATTGTAACATTTTATCTGGATATAAAAAAAAAAAAAAAAAAAAAAAAAAATGGTAACCCTTTATGCTTTTGTGTGGACAAACGAATGAATATACGGAGTTTATTCTGAAAAACAGCATATAATCATGAAAATATATTCAAAAGATATTAAATTTGAAATAGTGTGCAAAAGAGAAATTTTATTCGCAGTGCCTTTTAGAAATAAACAGCATTTATCTATAATCCTGTTTGCCATTATCGTTAGCACGTTAATACTTATATCTTTTTGCTACCTTTTCAGTGAGCTTCTACAATAGTAAAGTCATGGGTTCTTTACTGACACAACAGAATATCAGAACTTTGCTTTTGATTACGTGCACGGTTACGTATATGTTGGTTGGCGCGGCCGTGTTTGGTGCGTTAGAGTACGATCATGACCAGTTAGAAAGAAAGAAATACTTGCAAATTTACAGGCGGTTGCAGAGGGATTATAATATTTCAAGAGCAGACATGTCAGAGCTGGCAAAGTACCTTCACAAGAAAAAACATGTCGAGTATGCACTGGAGCCTTGGAGTTTCGCTGGCTCTGTGTATTTTACTGCCGTGACAATTACAACAATTGGTAAGTTTGCTGTCCTGTTATAGACTTTTTGCATTTTCCGAGTTTTGTAATTTACGAGTTTTTGCAGTTTACGAGTTTTTGGAATTTACGAGTATTTGCAATTTACGAGTTTTTGCACTTTACCTGAATCCAAATTGCATTTCTAACCCCTTTATATAACTGGAGAGAAGATATTGGTCGTTCTCAAAGCGATTTGACACGGGAAGAAGATCGTGAGAACGAATACGTTGACGTTTGGAGATTACTGTCTTTGTGACAGTGAATATCTTTGTGACAAAAAGTTGCATAAATGCCAAGATATTCAATTACTAAGAAATATTGCAAGCACATATCCTCAGTATACATCCTCGACATTTGCTTCAAAGTACTATTCAGCTTTTCACTTATTGCTTTTGTTGCAATTTTATAATTTTTGTTTTCATATATTTGAAACTTACTTTTCGGAGAAGCACTTGTCGTGGGGATGAATTTCGAGCTGGGTTTTTGGCATGTCTTTGGAAAACATTTTTTATCATGTATTATCAGCTGCCTTATCTATGTTCTATCGATGCCTGTGCATGCCAACAGCACCTTTCAACCCGCCGTGGCAACTACAATTTTCAAACTCAATTTGTGCTCAGCCAGTATCTTTTGTCGAGACTCGGTTGTTCATTTATTCATTTTGCTATAGACTGCTCGTGTTCTGTTTTAAAAGTTGATATGATCCTCTACTTTGGTAAAGCCTATCAAAAAGACTTCTTGCTAGCACATCTGTCATTACTGGACTCTCTTTCGAGATCATCCAGCAAACACATCTTTGCTTAAAGCCTATATCCAACAAGAAACCCCGTGCTAAATGCACCAACTCCTAACCAGAAAATATTTAGCCTTTTTCCTTCGTGACTCTTTGTCCCTTTTTCATACTCACTAGATTCGCAACAATCAACAAAACGCTGATTTTTTAAACACCATCTTCATGCTTTTCGGGCAGTACAGCTGGTAACTCTCATCGGCAAAGCTAAGAACATTCTGACTTTCAGGTCGACGCACGTGAAATGCTTGTGAATAGTTTTGCAACTCAAGAAATTTGACTGAATCTCTGAAACTGCTATTGATTTTATAGAGGCTAATTATTGGGCAGGTGCAGCACAAATGCTGGTTTTTATCGTCTTTTTTCTTTATGAGATCTGAAGTATGATATGCTAAAGCTACAGATGTAGCGAGCAACGTTGCGAAGATTGCGAGACACAAGAATCATTGGATTTCCTCTTCCTTCGCAAACAGACGTCTGAAACCTTAAAAAATAATTATGAGCAGCATTTTATTGATTTTGTTGTCGCGTCGTATTTAATATGTGGGGTCAACCGAAAACAGTTCTACCGCAAATAACATTTTTGTATGAAGTTTTCGCATATAGTCGATGCATGGTCGCTGCCTAGCAATTCTTCGCCTGTCTGTGTCAACAAGGCGTCTTTCCTATTTATCAGTCCAGATGCTTTTTTTAGAACAACTAAAATTTCCACGTTTTGCACGTTTTGATGCAATCTGCAGAAGCAGAATCTGAATAATACCAAGCATAAAAAGCTGATGTTGAATTTAATGACGGATTTTTGTGCTTTGCAAATCAACATATTATACTGAAATATTGATGAGTGACTTTTGGCTGAAAAACAGCATGGATTTAAGTTAAATTGAAACATTTGCAAGCGTCCCTTGAGAAAAATATCACTCCAAATGCATAGAAATACGCAATCATATTCTACATTTCAATGTATGTAAATGTGTCTTTGAAAAAGCTCCCTCGGAATCACTCTGTTTTTGGAATCATCTGAAGAATAATTCAAATCCAGAATCCTAGGAAAGTTTAGAGTCAGAACCTTAACGAAATCAAAGTATTTGCTTTGCAAACAGCAGTCACTCCGATCATATTTAAAGAATGCAGCAATTCTGACAGATACTTATATGTCTTAGATGTTTGTTAGAAGATTATTGATAGTATCGTCTGTGTGGAAGATCACAAGTCAACTTCATTACATCTTCTATAGCTTTCACATGTTTTCAGCTAGAAAATGTGTATCTGACATACAGATTTGTTTACAGTTCAGGGAATTCGGTGTCTCCTTTATGATTTTTAATGGAATAAGGGCAGCCTTTCAGCTTGTTCAATGTGATCATGAAAGGATTTTTGCTAGGCGAGGTCATCTTTTGTTTCATGTTGCATCTTTTCATTTTACTTTTATTATCATTCAATGGAGCGAAATCCTAAGAGTTGATGTGCAGATGATTTTAGTATTTTGCTTGGGAACGAAATCAGGTAGAGGACACCGACTTGTCAACAATGTGAAACTTCAATTGTTTCACATATCTTTCATTGAGCGTATAATTTAGAAGACACGGTGTCTTTTGACAAAAAGAAGATCACATTTTCTTTAAAACTGACTGGCAGTATACAATCTATAGAATTAAGATTTTGTACAAGATATTTTGATACTCATCATTTAAAAAGGGTTGATGGAAAGTAAAAACTTTGACTGAATTGCAATAGAGAAGCTTTTGAAAAACAGCTCGATGACTGCTGTTACAAATTGCCAAGATATGGCCAGCATTTTCCTGAACTTTTAGAGGAAAATATCGCATATGTTTCGATTGGAGATTGGGTAATAACCTTCCCCCCCCCCCCAAAAAAAAACTCCTTGCAGCTTCTGTAAAAATATCCTTAATTATTAGAGCTTTTATCTAAAAAACATAGTTTTGAGTCTACAGTACAACTTCTTTAATCATTGTACTAAATTGAAGCACAGTTTTAAGGGCTTTTAGAAGTTATTTATTTTCCTATTAACTCAAAGTATATTTTAAGTTGCATAAGATTTACTCAGCCTCGCCTTTGCTTTAAAATGAATTCAAGGTAATGCAAAGATGTTGGTTTACAATTTAAGTCCTCTTTATGATACTTTGCCTGTTCAAACCTTAAGTCTGGTTTAATAAATCTTCTTCTTTGTAAAGGCGACAGAATTAAACCGACAAAGGATTCATAGCTGGTGATTCATAGTTTAGATTTCACACAACTGCTTCTTTTCCATTCGATGTCTTCAGGTTAAATTTACATTCGAATTGTATTTAATGATTTCCGTTAATTAGATGCATCGCGTTCAAGTTTCTTTGCAGCCGACTCGTTTATGCTGCTAGAAATGATTTCTCAAATTAGATGGCATCACTTTTTAGGGACAGTCAGAGTGATATGACCAATTACGAATTGTAGGGGTTTTTGTGTTTAGACAGATAACAAGTACGGCGATAAAAGGGACAATTTTTGTGTTTAATCCCAATTTGAAAAGGATGATTGCATCTAGATGCTATGTCTCAAAAACTCTTACAAGGCTGCATTTTTTGAGCTCTAATTGTTTTTTCTAATATCATTCATCAATGACTTTATTGTCGAAAACCTGAATCTTATGCAAATGACGTCACTGTTTACCGAAAATCCGATTTTGATTGGGACAAGGCCAATGCTAGAAAGGTTGCGCCTTACTGATAAAGGGTTAAACCTTTTGTGGAGCACTTTGCTCTGTGACGTTTCTTACTAATCCAATACAGCCCATCGATTTCATCAAAAGCACTGAAAAAATAGGAAGAATCATCAATGCTTTTTTTTCATATAAGCTAGGCAAGGCACAGCTGATAATTGTGATCTGTGTCAAATCTTTGGGAATTTGTCTTGAAGAAACTGATTGCTGTGAGAATTCATTTGACCTTCTCGTTGATAATTTCCGTAAGCCTTCCTCTAGGAGCGACTTAATCAATGCTCCAACATCTAATTCACTCAGCTGCGGATACAGTTCACCATAGCAAAGAAGGATTTTGCCTTGGTGGATCTTTGAATAATTCTGCAATCAGGGATTCAGATCTTCTGTGGATGGATACTTCTAGTCCCATTTTAGCCAAGACCATTTGCAACTTCACGTGAAGTGCAGGTGGTGCAAAATCTTCTAAACCATCACAGTGATCTATCATGGGTAGGAACTGCGATTCATTTGCTTCGATTCCAAAATCTGAATTATTCTGACAACTGAATTGTACTTACAATGTGAGAATTATCATAAAATTCCCATTCTCTGATTATTAAAGAAAAGACTGTGATTGCCTTTTCTTTAAATCCTTTCTCGCAGTAAGGCAAAATGCAATGATTTGCTGTTTCGAAGCATGTCGAATGAAAGCAGGCCAAACCGTCTTTAAAGTTTACTAGGTTAACAAAAAACGATGCTCGCACCAAGTTATAACGCAATGAAAAGAATCTTTGTAGAGCAATAATGCCAAAAAGTTGTATTATTAAGAAAAAATGACGATAACAGCAAAGACAATGATAACTGCAGCAACAAAAGCGACAAAAACGACCAAACGACCAAAGCGACAAAAACGACAAAAACGACCAAAGCGACAAAAACGACAAAAACGAACATAGAGATGATGAAGATGATATCAACAATGATGTGATACAACCACCATAGTTCGTTCACCTAAATCAAGACTCGGAATAAAATAACCCATAAAAAGCCATTTGATTGTTCAAACACGCTGGTTGTCGTATTCTACTGTTCTTGTGAACAAATTCGAAATTTCAATTTTTAATAAGGCAGTTAACGATGAAAGGATGTTTTTCCATACTTTATATATTCTTTTGCGGAAGTGACGCGTTCAAAGAGCGCGAAATGTGTTTTCGCTTTAAGTCTTATCGATATACAATAGAAATCGGACAGGTGTCACTGATTATTGCACAAATCATCATCATCTTCGCTGATAGCACAAATAGAAGATCAAACAGCTGGTACATTCCAATCTGCGGACCGTGGAATTTAGATTTGTGAATTATGCTTGGTTTGCAGTTACTCTGGCCTGCAGATATTAAGAGCCTTCCTCCAGTCTCTCTTTCTATACTCCTCTGCACCTCTCAAGCAAAAACGCTCCTTCTCCGAAACAACTTTGCGACGCTCACGAACCCAGGGTAGAGTGCAGGATGATTTCAATCAGGGTTGCCAGATTGGACTTTTTCAGGCCAAATTTTCCAATTTTGGCCTTTTCCAGAGTTAATTTGCCTTGAAAATTTGTTTTTGGCCTACTACTTAAGTTTGGCTTTTTAAACATTGTGAGTTTATTCCTTAAACATTAACACCGTAAGTAACAAACAAATTATGAATCGAAAGAGGAATACTACACATTTTAAACTCAAATGTCAAATGTTATCAGCTAACCTAACCATTAGCAAAGGAATTTGTTTGAAGGAGGAAGTTTCTCAGTTTCTTGTTTGAGTTAAGAAATTATCAAAAAGGCTAATGTATGGAAATATATATTGCGCTTTGTGCAGTGTATTTTTCGGGATTTTTTTGATTTGGCCTATTTATCTGCCTTTTGGCCTAAGTTTATCACCCGTCTGGCAACCTGTTCAATGAAGTTTTGTTGGAATGCAAGTAATTTAACAGATATGGTTATGCCCTCCTCATCAGATTTGCAAGAGCCACACGTGTTGACTGAAAACACAGCGATAGCTGTTGATAATGACATCAAATTAAACTCAGCTGAGACTTTCTGTTAGAGTACCATGAAGGAAAAGTAGCTTTAAAGCATAAACACCCAGTTGGAACCACAAATGGGTATATATTTTTCATCGTGTTCTTTTGGACCCTTGTTCTGACGTTTTATGCTCTGAGGAGTGTCAGACGAAAAAACTTCTAGCCAATATGTTATAAAATGTTTGCTTTTTTCAAAGCCATCTTCAAGTTCTGTACCGTCAGAAAACTGTTCAAAAGTAGCTTTCTGTCACCTAATTGCTCTAAGTGTATTTTTCTGGATGCTTATGCCACGACTGTAACTATCAATCATATGGTGTCCGTGTATTGATCGACTAGAAACTTCACGATTATCATCTTGTTTCTATTTCTGTCTTTAGCCAACTTCAGACCAAGTGGTTTTTTCGTAAATGATACAAAGAACGCTAATCTTTTTATCGTAGACTATCAAAAAGAGCATTAATCGGTAGTCCTTGTAGCAAAGATGACGTTTGAAGGAAAACCATGTTAAAAGCTGTTGTTGATCATTGGACATAGAAACATCTGTCTCCTATTATTCCTATCCACTGGGTGTGCTTCGAAGCTAAAAGGAAATAATGACTTACATTCTATTCTTCTCACCACGTGTCAGGTCAATTCTTAAAAACAGATTATTCTCCTTCACAGGTTATGGACACAGTGTGCCTCGCACTATCCACGGAAAGCTGTTTTGTATCTGCTATGCAATTATCGGGGTTCCATTGAATCTGACTATGTTCCAAGCAATTGGTGAAAGAATGGGTGTTCTTCTTTCCTACTCAATAAAGAAGCTCAAAGCTTGTTTAGGTATGAAGAATACAGAGGTTTCTTTAGTGCAGCTGGTTGCTGTTGGACTTGTTCTATGGATCGTTGCTCTCTGTGCAGGAGCTGCTTTGTTCGCTCGCTATGAAGCCTGGGACTTCTTTACAAGTTTGTACTACTTTTTTGTTACGTTAACAACAATTGGGTTTGGGGACCTTGTGGCTCTACAGGAAGTCAATCATGAAAGAACGAGAGATAAGAAAACAATGTATATAGCACTAACAATGTGCATGATATATGTAGGCCTAACAATCGCCTCTTCAGTGATCAATTTACTAGTGTTAAGACTTATGGAGTTGCAACAGCCTAAGAAAAAGAGGCACAAGTTGTCTGTGCAGCCAGGACCGAGGTGTAATCACTGCCAGAATGGAAAACTTCTCAAAGTCGATACAAATGAAGATTCTGGTATCGAAGCAAATCAAAGTGTGATGATTCTAAAGAATTTCGAGGACGAGTTGTCCTTCACGTCATACAGACAGCTTCATCAGAAAAGAAAATCAATTTAATTTACGGTGTCAAGAAGAGTTCAATGGTGCAAGAAACTGCCGCAAAGAGGTCCTGTCCCCTCCCGTTAAAAATTGTCCCCTTTGACCCGATAAGATGTGGATTTCTGTTGAGTTTAGTGCTGCTGAAGATAAAACGGCATTAGATTTATTGCCATTTTCTTGCATGGAGACGGGATAGTTGATAATCTTAAGGAAAGAGCCAATGTGCATAAATGATTGAAATATCTATGTATAATTGGAAGGTAGAAGATCTGACATAAGAATTTAGAACCCTGACGTAACATAAATCATAAGATCTCAAATTTGCTTAGATGAAACTAAAATGGCACATGTTTTCAATGGTAAATGGTAATATATGGTGTTTGTGGTAATGTCAGTGGTCTTTTACTAGTAGCAATGAGTTTCCACTTCATCCAACCCTAGACCCCCTCAACCATCTTCATGAAAACCAAGAAACCTAACATCACATTATACAATGTTCTTTCATAATCATTTAATAAATATTAAGACTGAAGTAAAGAACAGCATACAGGCATAAGGTATCAATTTCTTCGGACAAAGTAAATAAAATGTGCCTCTTTTGGATGTAGAATCAAGATAAATGATTGTTTCTATGGTTTCTGTTTCCAACGCTTTTATACATTTGTAAGTAAAGCTACAAGGAACATTTTGCAATCAGATCCAGAGAGCAGCAAAATCTTCAATCTGGCAATGTTTAAAAGACGATGCATTATTTATGCAGCTTCATGGCAGGTCGCTTCGTTTAGATGAAGTTGACGGTCAGCAATTAAAAAAATATATTATTTGTTAGTTTGCTATTTGATATGCTGAGTATCCTCTTGAATATGAATCGAGATACGCTATTAATATCTGTCTGGTACGGAGATAAATTTTTTGCAAGCTCTGCATGAAATCAGCATTCTATCAGCATTCTTATCATATCATTAAATGTTTTGTGTAGAATTATGCCCATCAGAAGATCTGCCCGAAATGCTAGTTGCTATAAACAATAAGTAGGGTAGGCTTTATGTTGAAAAACATAGCTGATTCTTTAATGCAAGTCTTTCTTTACTCGAACTTTTATGAATTTAGTCAATTTGGATGATATCCAAAACTAAACTTCCAAAAAATTCACCACAACAGCATGTTTACAGTTCCCTCACAGAGGCGTCGCCAAAGAGGAGGTACGGGGAGGGGGGGAGTGTGCAGTACCCCCTGCCCCCACAAATTTGTCCGTCGGCACATTAAGGATTTTTACCGGGCAGAAAATGGAATATTTGCACTCACTCTGCAACCTTTTTGCAATAATTGTGACATATTAACATTTCTGTGTAGTTGAACTTTCAGAGTATGGCACTGGAGTATAAACTTTGAAAGAAAAACGAATAAAAGTAGCATGCAAGAGTATTTATCTTTTGACCACACCCTTAAAGAGTGAGATACGCCCTTTTTGTCTGCAAAAATCGCCTCTTCATCCCTCCAAACAATTTTTGGCTTCGCCTCTGTTCCCTTATTATGCCTTTTTGACTCCTGAAGTGTCAAAGGAAACATTCCTTAAAATATTTGTCTGAAGCTTCAATTATACCTGAAAGATCTTGTTTTAAAGAATACTTTCATAGGATCTGAAAATAGTTTGTATCAGACAATGATAGCATTAAATTAATTCATATAAATATTTATTGGAGAATGGTGCTTCCATCTACGGAAAGAATTCGGTAGTTTAATAATATGTCACTAGAAAGCTTGGAACCTGTTTTAAATTTCATATAAAAGTCATACGACGTGAAATTTATAAGAAATAAATCAAAATTTTGTATAAATCTATATATGTATAGGAAATAATGGATAGATTAAGATGTGAATTCTTGTCCTTGCATTGAGTAACTTTGCTTTTGTCTTCATAACTCTTTGCCAAAGTTTTGCTAAACAGAAACGCACTTGAAATGGAATCTGTAGGAAATTTTTTGTTACAAATTTTCTGAAAATATTGCACCTTTTCAAAGGCTATATGACCCTACAAAAAGCCAGTGGAGAAACTACAGATGTTCAGGGGGCTGGAAGTGGGCTGGAAGGGGGCTGGAAGGGGGCTAAAAAGGGGCTGAAAGGGGGCTGAAAGGGGGGCTGAAAGGGGGGCTGAAAGGGGGGCTGAAAGGGGCTAAAGGGGCATATGATTTAAAAGCCAAATGATGCTGTTTCTATGGCATTTGAAAACTTTGGCCAGAAATGCCCTTAAATGAACAAAAACATTTATTTGATGACTCCGGTTTCTCAAAATGAAAACATTGCAGGAGCTGTGAATTCTTGCAACCACCATTATAAAGCTACAGTCGTGACAAGAAACTCAAGTGCTGTTTTTGTACGTTTTTTATGCTCTAATCACTCAGGCAATAGAAGCAGTGATTTACGGGGGAAAACAAGTCCCCATAAGTCTCCTTAACCCCAATATGTCAGCCACGATCGTCCATGTGATTTTTGTAATTTAATAACAGCATTGCTGCATCTAAACACTTTTATTGTCTTCCTTCGCAAAATATGCTTTTCAGAAGTTCTATGGAGCATTCTTTTCTTCAAGGGTAATCATTTGCACCCCTGATCTTCGACAAGTCTTTGTTCTCATCTTTTTCCTCCCATCTAATGGAGTGGACCTTCCTGTTTACCGGCTGATGCGCCAACTCCTAAGAGATTATCTTCGAGGTTATAGCTTGCACAGCAAGACAGGGACATGAAAAATAGACAAGTGTTCGATATTGCCTCGTTTTTCAACAAATAATTTCTTTACTCAAAACATCTCTTTTGCAAGACTTCAGCCTCAACTTTTGCAATAAGCATCTACATACATTTTAATATATTTTCCCAGGCCTATTGCATAATTCAATCATTACTTAAAAGCCTTAGGTTAAGATATGCAAAAGATCACTGCTTTTAACTATTTTACAAGAAAAAATTTTTTTGGTGCTTTTCTCCGACATTTTGGCAATATTTCTCTCTATGAAAGCATCTTTACATAAGCTATTGCCTCACTTTCTAGCCAAAAGAATTGTGGACCGAGCTGTCAGCTGTCAGGTATTTTGCCTAGAAGTTTGTTCGTCTAGAATGAAAGTATCTCTTTGTAAAATGTGGCTGGTAGGCTTTGCAATAAACCGATATTTTTAAATCTCAGTCTTTTGTTTTTCCCAGCACACTATTGCAAAAACTGAATGTATTTAGTCCCAGGAGAAACAGTCGTTAAGAAGGTTACAATTGAGTTGCGTATGCAAGCGTGATAGTGATTCTGGCATGTGAAGTTGTGTTAGAATGAATAGTGTGTACTGAAATTTTAAGGTCACACCGTCGATAGCTTGTTTGCGGACAAGGCGTTTATGTACATGTTCAATATCGCTACGCAATGTCTTCAAGAACAAAATCGAGGATATCATCACAGTCCACCTCACGTTCCGCTCACGCTCTTCATCTGCCTCGTGTAGTTCGACTTCTTCAAAGACATAGCAAAGAGCAATACTACAAGCATTTTTCGCAAACCAAACCAAACCTTAACGATTTCAAACACCTAGAACCAGCCTTTCCGTGGACTTTCGTTCAACAGCGATATATTCCTTGGAAGACCATTCTTTGGGAGTGATGATACAACAACAAACGGCAGTTTCAGAAGGCGGCCAAGCCAACAGACATCGCTCTCGGATGCGGTAGGCCATTGGCAAAGAAACTACCCAAATGGAAATCCAGGCGCCTTTGGAAGGACACACAGCCACTTTGGCTCAAAACAAGTACGAGTTCTATTTTCACCTTGATAAGTTTTCTGAATATAAGGGAAATACATTCATTAATGAGGAAAATATTTCAGTAAAGGAAAGATTGAGGAAGTGCATTTCATTCTGGGGAACAATACATAAAAGTAGAAAAATTTTCAAACTGCTAAATTGACTAGTATTACTGCATGAGAGACTCTTACAAGTATGTGTAATTAGCAAGTAAATAAATGTTGTTATCTTCGGTTGGATGATATCAATTTATAGTCTAACAGTTTTGCTTAAAGTGGTGTTTACAGATGAAAAAAACCTTTTTCAAAAGATATAGCCTTCATCCTTTACTAAAATGTTTGCTAAGAAAAAAACTCACGTTTTGTTAGACGTAAGTTTTAACTTCTAGTCTTATATTTATTATTAACCTATTTATTATTTATTTAAATATAATTTATTATTATTATATTAACCTAAAATGCTTGCTCTAAGTTGAACAAGCAATTTTCAAGGGCATAGTCTTGATTTTTGGCAAAAATATTTTTGTCCTCAATTGCAAATTTCTCTAAGGTATTAGGCTTAAGTTTTTATGGGATGAATTTGCAACCAAACATGCAAAATTTTTCAAAGCTATTGTCTTACGTTTGAGCAAAAATGGTTACTCTAAGATGATTAAGTAATATTCAAAGGCATTGCTTTAGTTTTTGGCAAATATATTTTTGTCTTCAATTGCAAATTTTATTAAATTATTAGGCTTTATTTTTGATGGGAAAATTTGTCAACAAACAATGCGAAATTTGTCAAGGCTATTGTCTTACGTCTGATTAAAGATGATAACCCTGAGATGATCTCCAAGTTTTCAAAGGCATAGTCCTGATTTTTGCCAAAAATATTTTTGCCCTCTATTGCTAATTTTCTAAGGTATTAGGCTTACTTTGGATTAAAAAATTTTCAGCCCAAATTGCAAATTTTTTCAAAGCTATTGTCTTACGTTTGATCTAAGATGTTTAACCGGAGTTGATCTCGCAGATTTCAAGGGCATAATGATTTTTTTAACCAAACAATTTCTTTCACCAATTGCAGATCTTCCTTAAGCACCAAGCTTTATTTATGATGGGCAAAGTTTTCAGCCAAAAATGCAAACTTTTTCAAGGCTGTTGTTTTAATATTGGTCTAAGATGTTTACCCTGTGTTGATATCGCAGTTTTCGAGGGCAAAGTCCTAATTTTGGACTAAAATATTTTTGTCTTAGATTGAGATTATTTTTAAGATCTAAGAATTTATTCATGATAGAAAGAGTTTTTCCCAAAAATGCAATTTTCCAAAGTATTAGGCTTTGTTTTTGATTGGAAAATTTTCAACCAAAAATGCAACCATTTGTAAGGTATTAGGCTTGAATTTTGATGGGAAAAATTTTAAACAAAAATCCAAGTTGGCTTTGATTTTGACAAGAAAATCTTTCAGCCCAAAATGCGAATTTTTTAAGGTACTAGGCTTTGTTTTTGATGGGAAAATCTTTCAGCCCAAAATGCGAAAATTTTAAGGTATTAGGCTTCGTTTTTGATGGGAAAATCTTTCAGCCCAAAATGCGAAATTTTTAAGGTATTAGGCTTCGTTTTTGATGAGAAAAATTTTCAACCCAAAATGCGAATTTTTTAAAGTATTAGGCTTTGTTTTTGATGGGAAAATCTTTCAGCGAAAAATGCGAATTTCTTAAGGTATTAGGCTTTGTTTTTGATGGGAAAATCTTTCAGCCCAAAATGCGAATTTTGTAAGGTATAAGGCTTTGTTTTTGACGGGAAAACTTTTCAGCCAAAAAGGCGAAATTTTTAAGGTGTTAGGCTTTGTTTTTGATGAGAAAAATTTTCAACCAAAAATGCGAATTTCTTAAAGTATTAGGCTTTGTTTTTGATGGGAAAATCTTTCAGCCCAAAATGCGAATTTCTTAAGTTATTAGCCTTTGTTTTTGATGGGAAAATCTTTTAGCCCAAAATGCGAATTTTGTAAGGTATTAGGCTTTGTTTTTGATGGGAAAATCTTTCAGCCCTAAATGCAATTTTTTAAGGTATTAGGCTTTGATTTTGATGGGAAAATCTTTCAGCCCAAAATGCGAAATTTTTAAGGTATTAGGCTTCGTTTTTGATGGGAAAATCTTTCAGCTCAAAATGCGAATTTTTAAGGTATTAGGCTTTCTTTTTGATGGGAAAATCTTTTAGCACAAAATGCGAATTTCTTAAGGTATTAGGCTTTGTTTTTGATGGGAAAATCTTTCAGCCCAAAATGCGAAATTTTTAAGGTATTAGGCTTCGTTTTTGATGGGAAAATCTTTCAGCTCAAAATGCGAATTTTTAAGGTATTAGGCTTTCTTTTTGATGGGAAAATCTTTTAGCACAAAATGCGAATTTCTTAAGGTATTAGGCTTTGTTTTTGATGGGAAAATCTTTCAGCCCAAAATGCGAAATTTTTAAGGTATTAGGCTTTGTTTTCGATTGGAAATTTTTTACCCAAAAATCCAAATTTTCTAAGGTATTA